AGTGCCAATCTATGTCATGCTGAAATTTTCATTTGTGTATATGCAAAAATTCCAATTATTTATTGCTATCGGAATGAATTTGAATAAATAAATAAATTTAATCAAACATTTTTAATTTTTTAATCTAATTAATCATTTATTTCGTGAAATCTTCTGAAAATAATTACTTTATAACAGGTTTATGATTAATAAAATATAATGTAGGCAACCAAATGTACACATCTCATAACCTTCGCTTCTGACGCAATGTTGGAGATAAAATATTCATGTTACATCGCGTAAATGTGAGAAAAGTGAAAACGAATCACGCACATATCAAAACGTCTAGTTTGTGTCAGTTTGACTAATTTAATTTATAAATATACGAAGCGTAAAATTTAATCAATACCTAATTAAATTATTTAAAAAAACGAGTGTAGTTAAAGAAGCAGCGTGTTGAAAATAAATCCCTGCTCGCATGAAGGGCACGAGGTCAGCGAGAAAACACGGAAGGGCTCTGAAATACGATTCGTGATTAATTAACGTCGCTTTTAATTAATTTTGCTCACTTGAACCGACAAACCAGAGCCGCAACTCTCCGACTCAAAATCCAAGTATATCTGGTTGCGTTTTATATTTAAATATACAGCATGTTTACGCGCTGCATATTTCAGTGTAGTCACTAATTGAGGTTATGTGTTGATGTTGATCGGTTCTCTCTGGGGAATACCGCCGCAGGTTTTCGTTTAAACTTTAAAGTTTCCTTATCAGTCGAATGCAAATCGACTCCCAACTGGGAGCTAGGCACTATCAATTCAAACTTAGACCCGTTTCACTCAGCACCGGGTCCTTCTCGAGAGCAGCACCACTCTTCAACGTCCAACACATCCGACGGTGCATTGTACATTAGTGTCTTGTGCATTTAAGGATTTAGCCATTTAACCATCGCCCACTCGCGCTCCCAGGAGGATCGCCGCAATTCCCCAGGACTAGCCTGCTAAATGTGTGTGCGCACGGATCCTTCGGTAAACGGTCGGATCGCGTGCGAAGGAAATAGAAGGAAGGCGCAATGAACGTGCCAGCGCACGGAAGCAGAGGAAGGAGGAGGACGACCCGGATTGTCTCGAGCGTCCATTACGGCGTGCGCGCGCGCAGCGGGCTTGCTATTACTTATAAACCGCTAATACCGCCGACGAAGCCGCCGCCGATGCCAATTTGCATCAGCCGCACGACGCGCATCCAAAGACTAATGATAACTGTGTTGCAAAGCATCCGGCACTAGAATGCGAATAACGGTCATTCACCAAATGAGGTTATGTTGTAAATTGTAAGTATTATAACAATATAGTAAGTATCAAGTGGAGAAACTGGAGTTTTTGTCACGAGATTGATTAGGAACAAGCGTAGGAAGTGTTTAATCAATCAAGTGTTTTACAACGTTTAGTCATGAGTTGCTTACACCATTTTTTCTACTTCCACTTTATTTCCTCGTTGATTTTTTTTACTTTAAATCTTCAAATTTTTATGGAAAATGTCCCGTGACTAAAACTCGTGACTTAAGTACTTTAGTCACGCCCGTGATTAAAGTAACACGTTTTGTGTCTCAAAACCCTAAAAAACCGATTTAAAGTTGGAAGTAAGTTAATAATGCGCTGGCGCAACCTCCATCCCGTGACTAAACCTGTGACTAAAGTACTTTAGTCACGCCCGTGTATAAAGTATCACTTTTTGTGTCTCAAAATCGTAAAAAACGGTGTAAAAATGAAAAATAAAAAAAAATACGCATTCTAAAGTGATAATGTGTTAAAAAAGCCGATTTTTATTCAAAATGCTGGTTCCAACGTGAATAAAGAAGACAGCTCTAGAATCAAATTTGTAAATGCTAATGTAATAATAAACTCTCGTTTATTATTTGCATTTTCATTCGTTTTCTGGTAAAACATCAAAATTCCAACACTTTCGAATGATTTCCTTTGAAACACCTGTCAAAATTATGAAAATTTATGTTTACTTCACGCAGAAAAAAAAAAAAACTTAATCAAAACATTAATGTATTGTTTTAGTTTTATGACGTTTTCCACTTTTCCGCTTCCGTACTTTTCTACTTAAACTTTATCAAACTCGATTCGTCTGTACTTTGTTTTGTTTTTTCTACCGTGTTTGTTTTGACATATTCCGCAAACGACGCGCTTTTCCACTTTTCATACTTCAATACGCATCCCCCGGTGCGATGGCGGCGCTTGTTCCAGTGCCACACTGCCAAGAAAATGAAAAACGAGCGCGACATAAAAGAAATAAAACGTGACACCCGACGTGTCACATCAGATATGAGCCGGAGTGGTCGCGCAAGAAAAATGCAGGTGGAAACTTTCCGAACTATATTTTTAATATAAATATGACTAAAATAAGTAAATAGAAACATTTTGATGATAAACATAAAGTCAGGCGTGTATTTCAGTGACCTGAAAGTTTTTCCGAAAAAAATTTCTCATTATTTTTTGTGTTATTATGTATTTGGAGACAGTGAATCATTGTACCATTTATATTTTATCCGCACAGACGGAGAACAGAACGGAAACTGTCATGGACGCTGGGCGGACGGGGACAGATACAAATTCGTGCCGGAAACGCGTGCGACGTCCGAGCGACACACTTTCCAAAACTGGAATTGAACTGAACACAAAACTAAATAAAATATTTCAGAAGAAAAAACATTTAATTATTTCTCAAAAATTTTTTGCAAAAATTTTATTTTTATAGATACATTTCTATTTATTATATATTGTATGTTATATTTTTATAGTTATGTTGGAGAATAGATAGCGTCATCATACTTATGTTCGCCAAAGTGCCAGACAATTTCCACAAATGTGTCACGCGTATAATAAATCACATCTGGTGTTGCCGGGTTTTCTTCACGCACACAAAAGACGTCCATATTGGTCAGATAGATGAACAAATGTCTTCGCAATTTGTTACCGGTAATAAATATAAGTGTATAGTGAGTATAATACAATTAAAATTTTAAATTAAAAAACTCTCTGCTTTATTATTGTTTAGATCCCAGCGCAATGAAAGCGTATAAAACAGCGCGTGACATGTTAAGCCGTTCAAAAGTTTCGTTGTTTCTGAAAACCACTAACTGGACGCGCATGCCGGAGGAAGTAAATCGTGCAGCGTGCTGCATTTTGCGCTTTTCCGCATTTTCTCGCGCGTTTCCGCGTTGTTTCGCGCCCGTTTTCCATTTCCTCTCAATTACGTTCGAAGCCGTTACTGCAGAGCGGCCCAGACGTCCCGAGATACTGGGATCAGCGCGCAGATCAGAATAACATGCGCTTGAACAAATTAAAACACGGCGTGGCCATGGAAAATGAAAATACAAAAACAATAAACTTTTATTCCTAGTTAACTTTTACCTAGGTTATAATATAATATATAATATAATTTGTTTAAAAGCAACAAAATTGAATTCGGAACTTTTCAATCAAAAATATTTAAAAATTCCAGTAATTTTAAATTAAATCCGAATTTTTGCAAATCGTATTTACGTTTAGGATCAACATGGACGATGGAGGCGCGTGTAAATAAAAATTATTACGAATGGTAATGATTATTGAGTTTTAATTAAAAACGAGCGCAAAGCCGACGCAATTAACGAATTGAAATTCAATTTTGTATGAAATTTTTATTAAATTCCTCTGATTTTCCCCAAAATCACCAAAAATATAAAATATATCCGACTTTTCGGCTTTAGAATCCGAAAACTTCCATAACTTCAACTTTTGTGCTTTTATCCTCGTAATATTTGTCTTTATGTTGCTGCTTTTAATCTGGAAATCAGAATTTTTCAATGTATTCATTATTCGCATGCGCACGTTTTAATTTCGCGATCGGCGTGTTTTGTTCGTAGAAAAATATGAAAACCACGGGCGGAAACTTTTGTACGCTCCGCTCTTCATTATTTCCCTTATTTTTAACCTTCTCAACCGTACGTAAAGCAAACATCGCGCAAAGAAGAATCATTCATAATAATTACGAGTAATGAAAAGGTTTTATCTGTTGTGGAAACACATTGTGAAATAAAATAACAACGGAATATTTTCATTTACGCTATGCAACCAACTATACACATCACTCCATTCTACCTCTACCATCACAACATACATTTTTAGATTAACCTAAAACACACAGGATTAAAATAATAATAAAAATAAAAATACTTTTATCTTTCAGGTTAATTATCACGATGCGTAATTAATTTTCAAATTGCAACAAACACAAGTAATTAAAATCATATCAAGCTTGATTTCATGTCAGCTTGTACATAATTAAATTATAGCAATCAACATTAGTTCATGCACCTCACCAGAATACAAACAATAACAAACAAATAAATAATAACAATAATATTCTTTATTTATTATTGATTTAACTCTATCATCAATCGATGTGCTTATGTATTAACACCAGTAGGATAATTTCATTACGAAGGAATAATAACAGAGTTGTAACAATTTTTGTTGTTTGAGTTTGTTGCTAGGAATAATCAGGCAATAGGTAATGTAAAGCAGTCGGAGCAGAAACACGCATTCATCGATAATAATTAATAAACCAAATAATGTTCGACGACAAATGTATTGGTTATTAGTTGAACAAACAATTTGTCGCGAAATGAACATGCGCCACATGCAAGAACAAAACGTTTTCGTAATTAAATCCATCACAGCGTAATAATTATTCATTGGTACTGCTGGAATAATCAAAATTGTCAAAAATTATTGAGTAATTAACCAAAACTTTACAATAAATATTGAATGATCGATTTTTATACTGCAACTCAATCAATGAGAAATTTTTGGTAAAAATTGAATAAAATTTAAATGTCTAATGAATCATTGATTTGTTGAACTTTATCTTTGAACTCAATAGACATGATTTAATAAAAAGTCACGCGGTACTCAAAAAACAATTGATAATTACATTTATCACTCGACCACCTGCTCCAAATTGAACTTTTATCTCAATTTATTGCGCATTATTGACATTTCCACCACAGTATAAATAGGTAAATGGATCAATCAATATTACAGTTGACTCAGTTCAATTATCCGATCAAAATGATGAAAATCGTGTTGGTTTTTGCTTTCTGCATGGCTGTAAGTAAAAAAAAACTACAAAATTACTCTCATAACCTAACATAACCTTATTTTCAGTCGGCCCTTGCTTTGCCGCAACCCATCGCACCTAAAAGTGACTGGGCTGCATGCGCCACCGACTTCCAAGCACGTTTGATCGCTGCTCTTCAAACAACCAAGAATCAAGTGGTTGAATGCACCGTTGACTGCGCTGAAGAACTGGTTGGTCTTGAACAGGAACTCGAAGCTTCTTTCAAGAACGCCATCGCCGCCATTAAGGAACAAGCCGCTGCCATTGAAGCCTGTGGTGATGACTCCGAATGCAGGATCGCTGCCGTCAAGGAAATCGTCGGTATTGTTTTGACTAATGTCAATGACAACACTGCCATCGTCAAGAAACACCTTGCTGAACTCGAGGGTAAATTCCCCGAGGCTGCTCAATGCGCAGGTCAGGCTTTCGTTGCTTTGGGAGAGGAAAGCAAAGCCGCTGCTCTTGAATTTGTCGGATGCATCAAAGCATAAAATGTAAAACCAAAGAATAAACACGTAAAAATTTAAAACTGAAATATTTTTTAATATTCAACATCATGATATGCAACCATACATACATAACCGTGTGTCTATTCTCTAGTGATGCGTTAATATCATGTTGTGCGCGTAATGACAATAATTTAATCTATCAAATGTTCTGTTGCATTATGCACGCGCTGGTTATTAGCACATTCCACGATTTTAATTAGTCACCAGTGAGCATGCTTGGCATTATCGGTATCAAGATCGTGCCGATGCGGCGACACACTCACATCTTGAAAATTCGCGCGTTCGAACGATTTGTTCGCGTAAATATGAAAGCGCTGTAGTTGTGTTTGAGTTTGAGTGAGATTTTGGTTGAGCGGATGCCGTTCATTCGTGCAACCAGTGATGAATGGAGAACATTCCTATAATTCCGCGTATTCATGCGTTGGCATGCTCCGAACAAAAGCTTCAAAAATCGCAGGTGCATATTGAAAGCTCAACGCAGCGGAATCGAGTACGTCGCAAATGAACTACCATTCATTCATTGGTGTATACTGGGTTGCATAACACATTTCTACAACTTTAATATAATCAGTTATTTTTAGAAATGCGTCAAAGAGTAATTCGTTTTCGTGACTTGTCGATACTCTCAAGAGTTAAAGACTCGTTTGCAACGTGTGCAATACAATAACACAAGTGTAAGTGACGTATTGAAGTATTAGCGCATTGTTAATTGGAAAATGCCTGAAAGGATGCCGACGCGGAAGCAATAAGAAACAAAAGACGCGAAGAACCAATTTGCAATTGTAAATCGTAAATTTCTGCCATTCTGCTATTCTTCGCATTCAAATAATGAGACACTTAAAGAATTTCTAAGAAAAGTCAAACGCCACGCTACTCCATACTTTCAACAAAAATAAGGTTAGGTTTGTTTTCAGCACACAAGAAGAATTATTCCCATCGCATTTGTGGATGTTTTTGAAGTAATAATTACAGAATTACCGTTGACATTGTGTGTTGCAATTTACTGCACACTGCAAAGCTGCGATGAATTGCGCTGATAACAGCCAACAGACATGCGGGGAGTTAAATAACTGGAAAGTTTACGAGGACACAAAGGATGTCCTTACATGCAAAGGACGCGAGCGCAGCGCGAAAAACAACAAAAGGCTTGGTTGCGCGCCCGGAGTTATTTAGGTCTATCAAGCCATCGGCGGTGAATTACACCTTCTAACCGCCGCCACCGCCACCATCACCACCAAGCCCTCTCTAATCTATTACGCTAATGTACGACCCGGGTTAGTTTTGCACTCGGCAGTCGCACGATTACTTTCCACGACTCGTGTCTTGGCGAGTTTATGCGGCGTGTGTGGTGATAAACTGGGGGCGGCAGCGGGCGGCATTAAGGACTGCAGCAGAGGACTATCACCTCGTTACGAACAATGCAGTAGGAAACATTATTATGTTATGCAACCAAATATACATTAAAATTTGTATTTTTAACTTTTTTACTTTACGATAGGTGGCGTTAGTAGTATTAATAGTAGTTGTGGTTGTCTACCAACCTTAACCTCAACTCTGATCTATATTATTCGCATCCGTGTACTTAGTTTCAATTCGTCTTTGCGAAACTTTACCACAGTGATTAATTCGCAGAGAATGCATTAACATATTAAACGTTCGCCGTTCTCATAATTTAAGCCGCTTTACGTTTATGAGAACGACAACAACTTACGAATCGATACGCGTAATTAATTCCCCAGATCAATACCTATAGAATACTATATTTTATCCACACGTTTATAAGTTACGATAAATTACTCTCGGGAATATGCTCGTGGAGTAATGTTATTCTGAAATCGCCCACCCGTATAACGCATCAATGCTTATCTAACCGATTGAATGGATCCACTTAGGTATATCACAGCGCACGCAGCATTCTCCGCCCCCGTCGTTTTCTCTCTCGCTGATAAGATACGCGGCGTGTGTAACGAACGACTTTATTCACTGGATATGTGTGCGCATCGGATGCATTAGCGAAATTACTATTCTAATCGTAACAATGGCGAATATAAGCAATATAATAACCGAAGAGATACATACTGAGTTTTGTGCCAACTTGAATGCATCGTGATAATGGTAATATTCGTGTGGTTGAGTCGAGAATATTGCACACATTTCGACGCCAATAACTTCGCTGATAAACGCGGAAATTATTTGTTGATGTTTTGATGTGTTTTAATTGTTTGCGAAACAAGTTGAGTTTAGGTTCGCAAGCGATACGAAATTAATGTTCGCCGAGATTCGAGGCTTTTAATTTGTCAGTTTTTGCTAACGAAGAAAAAGCAGCGCGGTGTTGTGTGGCGGGCTGTTGCTGATTTTGTGCTTTTGTGCGCGCCGACCGAGATTAATGACAATGACTGATTGCGAACACTTATCACTTCGGCCGCGGCCCGCCCGCCGTTTTTCGCCAAGCGCGATTCCATTTATTTCTTTCGCTTTATCCGCTAATCAGTACACTAATGACGCTGAAACAAACTTTCCCTATACGTACAGGATTTTTGTCTAGAGACAACAGTTAAAATTTAAACCTCAACCCAATGTTTTTGATCTTCAACTTCAACTGAAGTACGAGTAGTATATATGTATGCACTGGTTCAAAAATAGTGGTCATTCATCAATCTCGCCGTGTGCACGTGAAACGCCAGCGACGAAGTTAAATTTATCTTTCGACCGCGCCAGCACTAAACCAACACTGAAAACTCCACGCTGAACTCCGTAAAAATAATATCGCTATATTCGGACACGGGAAAATTTTAATTAAGCAGATTATTAATAATTGTAAAGTGAAAAGTTACGTTTTAATTGGGCAACTGAACACCTTTTGTGCGCGCAACTCGTTAGCACCGGATCATATTGTAATTCTAGCTTTTACAAGAAAAGTTCACAAGTTCAAACAAATTAAAACACAAATAATGATGTTGCTAGTTAATAAAAACTTAAAAAACAACAAAAACAACTAAAATTCACTGATTTTCCGCTAAAAAAAAAAAAAAAAAAAAAAACAAGAAAACTTACAGGTTGTAAGTCACAAGTCGGAAAATTACGTGTGAATAATATATGATCCAATCTTGTTTGCGCCTCGCACGTGGCACGCTGTTCATTTACAAGTGCTTTAATAAGAATGAATGAACGCTGAACGAATGACTCTTATTTCGTATCTACGTTGATTCTTAGCTTTACGTCTTCCTCCACAAACCTTTTCACTGTTTACGTATTTATTAGATTTCACGTCCGATGTTGTGGTTTACAGTAAACAGAAATTATTCATTAGATTAAATCAAAGCGGTGATATTATTTCTTTATACTTCTTAAAGAAATAATGATGTTTAAAAGGTCTTTGAGTAATGTTTGAAGACGTTTATATTTCCGTGCATGTTGAAGACTTAATGATGCTATTTTTATACCAATTACTTAGGAAACTGCTCCTAGCGCTTGGATTTTTTGTTTCCTTTTTGTTTCCGAACGCAAAAGAATTTTTACGGCGTGTTTCAAGGTTTACATCTTGAAAATGTAGACATTTATTATGCACTCAAAGAGAAAATGTTATTTTAATCAGGTTTAAGTTGTCATGTTTTATAAATATTGTAAAAAATTAATTTACCTTATTTCGATGCGTAAATATTTCAAAACTCGATGATTTATTGTTTGACAATCTGAAACACAAAAAGATTTTGATAATTATTTATGTAATTAGATGTCTTAATAATTGCTAATGTATACATTCGGGTGTGAAATGAATTTCATGCGCTTTCTGACTAATTTCATCCTAATTAACTCGTCAACGAAAATCGTCATAAATCATTTCGCACTCTGCACCCAGCTGCATCGTACTAATTTTTCCTCCTCATCCTCATCCTCATCTCCAACTCGTTTTTTTTTTCTTCGTCTTTTAAATATTTTTCTTCGCTTGTTTGCGCTTAACTTGTCATTCTTCTTAATTATCTCGTCCACCTTCTCCAGCCCGCAGTAAAGAAGCACTCAAGCTTATAATTTAAAAATAACTAGCTCATTATGCAGATCATGACAATTTGTTAATTAATTAATTAATTATATTTACAACTTTGAATTTAAATTGCTTTAAATGTATTCATCGCTTAGTTTATGTTATCGTTAACTAAGACACACAATTTCATTGTTATTGCGGGGCGATTTTTCGGCGCGCAGAGTTTAGATACGTAAACTAATTAATTAATTAAAAGTCTAGTCTGGGGCGCGTAATTTGCGCCCGCAATAAGAAAGCGTTGTGCACAAAAGGAGGCGCAGAGACAATGCCGGCGATAAACGCGTCGGACGCCGTGACTTATGGATTAATTAAAGTCCAGAACTTGCAAACTTCAAACTCTCTACGCCACTAAATGACACAACGGACAAAAGACTCACAATTTGGTTGCAAAAATATAAAATTTTAACCTTGAAACTTAAAAAAATGCAATCGAGTGTCAAAACCGCAATTTCAATTCTTGCGTCGTGTTAGGAATAAAAATAAAACGAATTTACGTCGAGTACGTTGCGAAACCACGCCGGTGGAAAATGATTAACTGTAAAAACGTGCGTTGTGGGTTGCGGGAGTTTGCCGGGGGTGGCGGAGACGGCGAGCGTTGTTGCTGGGCAGCGTGGGCGCGTTTGGCCGTCCATTTGCTAGATGAAATTTGCGGCAGTAAACTCGCACAACTTACATTGCCCACAAAACGGACTTTTACTACACTCGTATACACACTGTTGCTGTTATAAAAAATTTAAACAAAAAAAATTGTTAATATTTAAAAACTCGACAAGGACATCAAAATAAACACAAAATAATTAATTATCTTGATATTTTATTTGGTGCTTTTCATCACATCGATTTTTCTGTGAGCGTTTTAATAAAATACAACCTTGTGGTCTGGTTTCCAATGAAAAATGGGTCAGAAACTTGATTAAAACCGCTGTCATTCACAAGGTTCGAAATTAAAACCCATCACTTGCGCATTATCTAAAATCATGTTCATTTTTATACGTAAAAACATGTTATGATGACAAAAGAAGTAAATTTATTTACTTTTCAACTTTATTTGATGGAATTTCATGTGTAAACCGAGAAAAATTGAATGTTTAATGACTTTGCGTGTGCTTTTAGCAATATTAGTCCCCGTCAACATTGTCCTGAGAGTTGTGCAAAGCGGCGGGTCGAACACAACACGCACTTGATATAAACTTTTCGGTTGAGAGACGAATGGCGAATGCGATTTTGCTAACGAGCCATCCGCGTGCGGCTTAATCAGAAAAGTTTTCTTATTAGCGAATGCGAATGCATGCCGAAAAATAAACAATAAATTACATTCGGGTAATTTTAAAAATATTAATCGTAGGCAACTTTGTTTACGTCACCGCGCGCATTTTAACATTGTTATCCGCTCCGGTTCGATTACAGGTCGCGTAATTATTGTTGCTCGCGCAGATAGCGTCCCAGTCGATCGCAATTACCTCCATCGGCTCCCAGCCGCCATTGCATTGAAATTAGACGCGGAATTGTATTCCTTTCCGGCGTTCTGCGGCTCGCAATCGAATAAAACCGCGCGAACACAAGTACAACAACAATCCCAATCGCTAGGAGTGAAATTGGAGTGTTGGGGCGCATACATTGTGCTGTTTTGCGTGCGGGAAAATTGCAGAATCGCTGAAACAATGGCATAAAGAACTAAAAACACATCCAGGCATCAATAAACTCTGCGTTTTATTATTTTCCAACCGAACTAATCAGAATATACGGATTAAAATACCAAAATAAGCAAAAATAATCAAAAAAGTTTATTTTTCGCGAAAAATAAGTTTTCGCCATTAAAACTAATCTAAAAGTTATTTTTTTGTTGGTGACAAATGATTGCGACGTCGCAAACAAATTTATTTCCATTCATTCGTTTCGCATTAATCCAACGCGGAGAGTTGCGGCCTCGATTACGACCGTGAAATATTGATTCAACAAAGTTACACTCATCCGCCATCCGCCATCCGAATTGGGTTTTCGTGTTTTTCATTTATATTTATGCGATCCGTGTTTTTATTAGCAAGACCCTTTAATTCACCCCTTTATGTCTTTGCGATTCGCATTTTATGATCTTCATTAAAGTTTAGTGAGGTTGCTTCATATTTATTGATTAATAAGTTGCCTAAGTTAAAATATTCTTTATGTTTCCGTTATAAGTCCGTCAGATGGCGCTGTAAGACGCAGGTAAGTCCGTCACAGAATAAAAACAAAACTTAAAGTCTATGACAATAAAAAAGTTGTAAGCATCCGTGTGCTCGTGATGAATGCACGACTGACTCGCAAGATAAAGCGGAATAATAAGCGAGTTTATTACGTTTTATAATAAAAGCTTGCGTTTCATAATAAAACGAAGGCGAAGAAAGCCGGCGCCGCCGCCGGAGAGAGCTTATTGTGCGCGCCGGTATTAAGTGAATCCACGGAAGAAGCAATCCACCAACACAATGCATAATGACGCACAAAAGACAAAAAAAACGCGCGGGCTTTTAATGGTTGACAATACGAATAAGAATAAAATGGTTTTTTTTTGCTTTAATTTAGTCAAGATATTAATATTTTACGAATAAAATATTATTAGTGGTGTTCATCAATCGTATGCTTTCATCTCGAAGCTGTGTGGTGAATGGAAACTGTAAACTTTCATTGGTAAACTTGTGCCGCGCGGCGTCGGTTACACTTTGCGCTCGGTTTCTCGCTGCGCACGGATGGCTTTTCGGCTTTCGTTGGGTCAAAGTTGGTTTGTTGGTTTCTCTGGACGCGGCGTGTTGAAAGCGCGCATATTCACCCGCCACGACGCTATTACCCGCCTCCGGTCACGCCTTATTATGAATTTAATTCATAATTGAAGATGCCCGCCCGGCTAACCCACGCCAACTAACTTACTAACGCCGCCAGACGCATATTGAGTATACCAAGTTGTTTGCTAGTTTTGTGTGTTATAGTGTAACAGTGTAACAGTCTATGCTAGTTAAAGATTTGCAAAGTTTAATTATAAACGTGCTTAGCTTCAAACACAACAAAAAAAACTTTTTTTCTGCAAAAAATTTTAAATTTTAGTTAAAATTTTACTTTGTGTGTATTTCGGTGTCATTTCGTTAATCCGGTTAAAATATACATAATAGGCGTTGAGACTGAACTCCCTAAACTAATTTTCTTAATCTCTTCCTCGTTTTGCGTGCCCGGCGCCTCCACCATTTCTTGTTTTCCAATTTCAAACATGCCTACGAAAACACCCGGTTGTTTACTTTACGCAATCAAAACAACATGAATAAATATATCTCCAAATCAATTTTTATGACTTTAATCTGCAATAAAAGCCTGCGTTTATTTTTTAGTTGTCTGGAGTTTTTAATTGTTTCGAAACGTTTGCATTTTACGATTTAATTCGCTTCTTTTGCCATCAATGCGTACGTGGCCTCACTTTTCAATTCTTCGGCATGCCATCGTTAAAATTATCCTCGCTGTCGTCCCGTCGAGGACAACAAATTAGTCGCCTTATCTCTACCTCTCTAATTTTTTATTCCGCTTTCGCTGACAGTGGCCGAAAGTCGTAAAATTCGTCATTGTTGTTTCATAATTAAGTGCACTCGTAAATTTTTATCACGAAGAGCGCTTTTTTCGAGCAAAATTGCAACCGAAGTGGAAACTCAACCGGATAAAACGACATTTTACGACCGTCATAATCTCCTTCACTTGCGATGATAACAAATTTTAATTATTTTTCAATTTGTGCTGGGTTATTGACTGGATCATTCCGCGTCTCCAGATGGCGGGGCACTGGTACCGATTGAAAATGGAACATAAAAGGCACGTGCTCGTGTAAAAAACGCTCGTTTGGCTGCAACACGCGGGAAGAAAAGCGACGTCGTCGCGGATGGTGATTGATGAACGCGTCGTCGTCAAGTGACAGCCGACAAATTCGATTTGTTTCCAATCGTGTCCTTTCATCGACGCGCCGCGCGACACGCCGATAATTCCATCACGCTAATTTGATAAAAAGTCCAGCCACTGTGCGCCAATTTTACTTTAGTGTTATAAGAATACTAAACAAACAAGAAAACATTTTATATGTGGCGACATCTAGTGTGCAAAAGTCAAAATATTTTCTTATATTCAGAAATAATGTCATTAAGTTTCATAATTGAAGACTTTTAGTACCACTCACTAAACAAAATTGTATTACCAGCAGTCTTTAATTTCGCCGCGAGTTGATGGCGAATATTTCCGAGTTTTGAGTGCGCGCACTCATGCATGTAAATTGAGCCGTTGCGACGTACCTGCGTAAATTTTCGTTTAACAAGTTCGCAAAGTCATAAAGTTTACGTTACTGCCAGCGATACTTTAGTTAATAGTCGGCCATAACACGTTTGTGCGGTTGGTTGTCGTTTTTCCTCTTCCGCATTATGCGCCGTTAAGAAATAAACAACAAAATCAGTTAGTATTACATTCACACATCAGAGGGCGCCACAATATACCTATGTTTAAATACATCTAAGATTATTTTTAAAACTTGTAAATTTACATATTAAAGACTTGAAACGCAGGCAAAGAATTTCTGTTTGCATTAACTAACGATGTAATCAACAACAACTAAAACAACATAACCTAACCTAGGGTTAAAAAGGGTAAATTCACAAAGACATATTTTGTATGCTAATTGGGTTGCCGATCTAATCATGAACATGTTCGAAATATATTATTGCATTACAAGACTTTCAACATGATAGAAAACAAATCAAAGCTTTATCGCGGTATTTGTGTTTGTGGGTCGGTGGTTCTGATTGTGTAAGCGAATTTATTTCGCGCGGCGGGTCCAAAAACTAAAATACAAGCGCTCGTGTAGTAATCCGCAGACCTAAACTTAAACGAAACGAAACTTAAAGGGAAAGCGAGAACCAGTGGCAAGATTTGCGCGTCCGGGTGTAATGTATGGATAATGTTAATGCCACACAGCCAGCCCCAGCCGAATTCGCGTGGGAGTGTGATTTCAGTGGTGTGCGCGTTTAAGTCCTAGGAGTCCTAGTTTTGCACAGCGTAAGCCAGCGGCGCACAAATATGTAAAAGCGATAAGCGATCGACGAGTCGCAGGCTAAACCACCCTTCTTGCATTCAACCCACTGCGGGTTTTCTCTTTCATTTCCTGTTATTATTTTAAATTATAACTGAGTTTTCTTTTTTAGGGGTAATGACATATAATACAATACTGAGCGCAATGTGTATAAATTTGATATGAAAATGTTAATAGTATATTAAGTATCAAGTGAATAAACCAAAGTTTTTGTCACGAGATTCATTAAAAGCGAGTGTAGTAAGCGTTTAATCAATCGAGTGTTTAACAACGTTTAGCCACGTGATGCTTACGCTATTTTTTATTTTCATTGAAATTCCACGTTTATTTTTTTTTTTTTATTTTTGTAATTTAATTTTGTGTTGTAGTGCGAAGGAATTCAGTATAAAAATATAAAAATGTAAATAAACACGATCTCTGGCAATCTGGTCGAAGAAGATAAAAACGCATTGCGTGATTTCACTCAAACACGACACAAACAAATATTTATTACAAATAAGTGCATTGTAGCGCCATCTATGGTCAATTTATCTATACTAATATTATAAATGCGAAAGTCCTGATGTTTGTTACACTTTCACGCAAAAACTACTTAACTGATCATCATGAAAATTTGTACACATATTCTTAGTGGTCCCCGAATGGTTATAGGCTACTTTTTATTTAATAAAAAAAATTATTTTTTAAATAAAATAAAGAAATTGTTTAGCCAATAATACCTCTGCATCTGGCTATTTGACTACTTTAACGCCATCTAGCATTCCAGCAATGAAGCTCAAACCTAAGTACTATAGTACCATCACACTGTATTACCGACAGCTACGTCAACATCAAATCCAATTGACTACACTATGGAGACTGTACACTATACTTCCATAGACTATACTTTCAGCCATTTTAAACTTCCCGCCATTCTACTTCATTGTTACTTCTTCTGTGACTACAGACGCGTACGGAAGCAACTTCATTGATTTCTAATATTTATTTAATGGATTCAATGCGAGCGAAGCCGCGGGATAAAGCTAGTTCAATATAAAAATGTAAAAATGTAAATAAACACGATCTCTTGCAATCTTGTCGAAGAAGATAAGAACGCATCGCGTGATCTCACACAAACACGATACAAACAAATATTTATTACAAATAAGTGCATTGTAGCGCCATCTATGGTCAATTTAACGTATTATATTTAAGTTTGATGTGCGCACAGCGTGACCTCGACTTATCACAATATATTTGTTGACATAAACATCAACAAACAACTTCATTCAAACAAATCAAAATTTTAATTTATTCTTCATGTTATATAATAATTTCCAACACCTTTATTTAATTTTTTTATTTTCCGCAGATCTTTAGTTATTTTTCTCTGTTTCCGCCTGCGTTTATTATTTAATCGCCGATTGCAATCGCAATCGCCATCAGCGCAGCCGCCTTCAAGTGAAACACAACACCGAGTAATACGTACTTACCTTAATCTAAACATTTTGATTAATTCAGTCGAGAGTTACGTAAACACACACGACGCGAATTGTAATTACATCCGAACAAACTACACACGACAATGTCGTGTTTTTTCATCGTTGTGCACCAGCGACAACAACAAAAACGCCATAAGAAAACACGCCGGCAAAATGAAATATTTATGGCGTTCTTCCGGGGGCGAACGGGTTAAGCAAGTGCGAACTGCCGAGTGAAAAAAACAACACAAAACAAAAGAAAAGAATGGATTTCGTGTGCGGTACACGAGCACATGCAAAATTGGCAATACTCACGCAAAACAAAAAAAAACGAGGTGTATTTATGTTCCATTGGAATTAAATTTACATTTTTTCGAGCGTTTTATCGATGTTTGCTTCCGATTGTCAACAAAATTGTTATCGAAACGTAATTAAAGTTGCGGTAACCTATGACGCAACACGTTATACGCATTATTAGCCGGGTAACTATACAATGCACACCTAGTTTTAATTAAAACCTAAAAATCTAACACATACAAAGTGTTTTCAACAAATTCAGCTTTTAAATATTTAATAAACATTATTAACTTGTGTAATACTGTTAGTAACAATATTATACCTCTTTTAATATTTAATTTTTTACTTTTTTATGATTTTTTTCATTTTTTTATAGCCGGTATTTTGCAAATATTCCTCGGCTAATGGAAGCCGGCAATTTTTTCATACTTTTAATAACCGTTTGCCCGATTTTAATAACCTCGCCGGCGAGAGTAGCGAACTAATGACCAGCGCATAGGGTACACGCTGTTTTTTACGGCCGCCGGCACCACCGGAGGCGGCAAACACCCGCGCTGTTAGTTGTTGTATTAGGTGGAGTCATCAAATTTACAAAAACGCGTAAAAAAACACTGCTCAATGTGAACAAAACCGGCGAGACGATTAAAAACGGCCACATTTTGTTTCGAGTATGCAACCCAACATACACGGACACAAAAGATCATTGGGAACATTTAATTTCTCTCATAACCTATAACATACGCCGTCAAGATGGCCGCTGTGGCAGCCATTACTAACCGTTAAACGCCAGTAGTCATTATCAAGTGATACTCGTAATAAAAACGAATGTGAACGACCATGTTGATGGCAATGCTGATAACAAAGAATAATCGTAACACAAAAATTGCAATAATCATAAAAGCATAACCCAGAACGACATAAAAATCATTCATCTTGCGTCTTGCGTAAACATAACCTGAGTTAAATAAATTTCCGGCCGGAAAACGCTGAAATTAACCAAACAAAAAACATGCAAATGTCTACAAGCGTACAAATAATATAAATAAACTTGTTGTTTTAGATTTAGTGGAAAAAATCGCTTTTTTGTTCGTTTTATATAAATAGCGGAAAGTTGAGCGATGCGATGCCCGTGTATATAGAAATAGAGTGCATGCATGCATGCGGAATATAAAACCATTAATATGCATTTTCATTAGGGGCCTGTCACGCTTTTTTTCGCCAGTGCGCCGAAACAACTGACACCCGACATGGCACACAATCGCATAAACAACAAATATGCTACGAGAAGGTTGGCGCACTATGCAAATTCACCAGATTTATTAATTATATACAATGCGTTCAAACAACACGCGTAGAAAATCAATGAGATGTTGTTCGGACAATAGGCAACACACAATGCATCAAATTAAAGCTGTCAATTGCCTGTTACAGCAGTTCCGGTATATTGAGACATAAATCATGAAGTGTAGTTCATTAAAAATATTTAATTGTTGATGTAATAATATAATATGCTTAATTAATTTATTTATTTTTTTTTATTTTGTTTTTTTTATGGACTTTTCATTGATTTCTTGGACAATGGACAATTTCCTTTGCAGCAAGGACAATAATTCCAACTTAATTACACATTACCAACGCTTAATTGCTAATTGAATGAGTTTTAATTATTTCATCAACACGGAACACTCATTAAGTGTTTTATTTTGTTTAAAATGTTCAATTTAATTAAAAAACTTAATCTTTAACAAAAAAACTTGTGTCATAACAAGTTAATAACTTCTTAATCAGTACTAATTTCGCCGTTGATTGGAAAACCTGCACGGAATAAATTAGCGCAGCGCGTTCGTGTATCTTAATATCTTTTTGATATTTTCGCCGTCGCGCATTAACTCGCTCCACAATTTACTTCATCTTCTTCGTATTGAGGCGGTCATGTCCCGAGACTCTCGGGACGCGCTTCCGTAAGCCTTTTAGTGCACCACCCGCCGCCCCCGCGACCGTCTCACGTTATTATATATCAGCAATAACCGTATAAAAAGATTAGGTCCAAAATTACTTCGCAAAACGTCGATGGACGGTCTGTGAATGAAATTTTCAAATCTCGATTACTGGCGGCGGCGGCGGCGGCAGCGGTAGATATTGGTCTGGATTGCCTGTGACGTGACTTGCAGACAAATTTTTATACAGAAAAAAATACGATTTTTTTTTCAATATTAATATAATTTGCTAAATTTGATTAATTACCTTTTAATTATGCCTCGTTGATTGAAGCGTGGTCGCGTGGAATAAAAGCAGGTTCAATGTCAACCGTCAATTGAATCCCGAGTAGGAAAAAACTCGCAGCAAGCAGTTTGACGCGCACACTGATTAATTAATTATATCCTTACGTTTAAACATTGACAAGTAACATGAATATGAATTAATTTTTATTTGATATTCACTGCATAAAATGTCTTAGTTTTTTTTTTTGATTTTTTAGATTTTTGTAGTTTTGAAATGAATTAACCAGAGTTCTGTTTCGAATTCAGCGTGTTGAAAAGTTTACTTTGTCACATTGCATTGCGTGAATGTCGCACAAGTAAAAATCCAGCATGTAGGTCACGTCCGCGCGACTGGCGGCGGCAGAACGCGGGAAATGTTTGCTTTTTGTGAGAATCGCGAGCGCGAGCTGGAGCCGATGGGTGCACGCGTCGCGACGCTGCGAACGAAGCCGCAGAACTGACGCGTCGGTGGCGGCAACAACGACGGCGTCGCGACGCGCACGCTTAGTACCACACCACGCCGATGTGGGGGCGCTGGAGATTCATACATTCATACACATATAAATAAATATATAGTTAATTTTTTTTTTAAGAAAAACAAGCAGAAAAAAATCAATTTTTAAACTTTGTGTTGCACAAAACGATAAAATAAAAATTTCAAGCGTAAAAATGCTCCGTGGAGCGGAAAACATTAACTCGCCGCTTCCTTCGAGCGGAGAATATTTATAGTTATTGAAACGTCAGCCTGAATTACACTATTAAACTTATTTTATATTTGTTGCACTCGCACATATCCATATTTTCACATATTAATAATGGCGTCGCGCCGACGGCGCTTGAATCCCTGCACGTGCGATCCGCTCAGCGTTGGCGAGCGCGCGATAAAAGTTATTTATTATTTGTAAGGACATTAGGATATTAGAAATGACACATTCATCCGTTTCCGTTTACCAGCTAATATCACACACCGCGTCGCAGACGCACAAGCAATATTTTATTGCAGCTTTTCTTTTTTTTTATAAATAGAAAATGTTTAAAGTTAAAATTTTTAAATTAAATATTATTATTTAAAAAAAATAATATAATGTTGCAGTAACAGTGTCGACGCGTATAATCAGCGGTTCTTGTAAACAGAAAAATCTTGCCTTTGTTGCCACTGGTGCTACAGCCGTCCCGAGCGAATTCTAGAGTTATTTTGACATTGATTGCTCGACCTTTTTTCTCTTTACCTCTGGAGGTACAAAAACGAAATTAGAAAATGCCGCATGGAATACAAATTGGAGCATGTACAGAAAAAAGTACAATTAACTTGGTTTTGTTGAAAACCATGCGTTGAATGTGTAAAAATTTCATTTTAAACACTTAAATGCTCCGCCTACTTTGTCTTTTTTAATTGGACGTGAGGAAACCTCTGCGCATGCGCAGTAAATACCATAGGCGGAGCAAAAATCCAAATAACACAATTTTTATCAATAAATTTGTTTGAAAAGTGTTTTAAACTCTTTAAAGCTCCGCCTACAATCAATTCTACTATTGGACGTGATGAAATCTCTGCGCATGCGCAGTAAAAGCTCTAGGCGGAGTTAAAATGTTAAAAAACACAAAAATATCTCAAAAAATAACATTTTTAAGAATAAATTTGTTTGTAAAGTGTTTTAAGTATTTTAAATCTCCGCCTACTTTACGTTTTCTGATTGGACATAAAAATATCACTGCGCATGCGCAGTAAATACCCTGGGCGGAGCAAAAATAATAAAAAACACAAAGATATGACCAAAAAATCAAATTTTTATCTATAAATTTGTTTGTAAAGTGTTTTATACACTTTACAGCTCTACCTACTTTCTGTTTTATGATTGGACATGATGAAATCTTGGCGCATGCGCAGTATCAACACTGGGCGGAGCAAAAATGCCAAAAAACTCAAAAATATCACAAAACAACAAAATTTCAATCAAAAAATGGTTTGTAAAGTGTTTTACACATAATAAACTTTTTGTTTTATGATTGTTTATGATGGAATCTCTGCGCATGCGCAGTAAATACTCTAGGCGGAGCAAAAATGCCAAAAAAATATAAAAATATTACAACAAATAAATTTTCATGAATAAATTTGTTTGTAAAGCGTTTTAAACACTTTAAAGCTCCGCCTACTCTACGTTTTCTCATTGGACATAATAAAATCACTGCGCATGCGCAGTAAAAACCCTAGGCGGAGCAAAAATACCAAAAAAACAAATATTTAACCAAAAAATCAAATTTTCATCAATAAATTTTTGAGTACCTAACGTGTTGGTGACACATGTAGAACAAACCTCCTCCACTCTGTAAATGATAGCCCCGCGTGATTGTGTTGCTGTGTCGTATGAGGTTGTCGGTTTACAAGCGCCTCACGCCTGGGTGTCCTTGTGCTGACTGCTGGGAATTATCCCCAGATCTGAGACAAGCCGTGACCACCACAGCCGCAGCCGCTCCCGACCAACAAGTGCACGAGCACGCTGATGCTGATGTCGCGCGCCCGCACACATGCGGCGCTGAATTTTGCTGCGCTAAGCTGGCGGCGTCTTCATATCATCTAACCTCGTTTCCAGCAGCGCGGCGCATAATAGTTTTCGGCGGTGACGCCAAGAGGCGGCGGTGCTGGCAGCGGCAAGTGGTGATGAGTGGCGGTGAGATACGCATGACAAATGAATACTCTCAGGAGATTTCTTTCTTTTTCAAGTAAAATTTGGATAAAAAAGGAAATAATTTAACAAATTAATTAAGAATTCTTATTGTTTCACTTAATTTTGCTTTTATTGCAGGAATACTTAAAATACGGGATTGTAAATTGTTTTTTTGGCAATTTGCTTCTTTCTCTTCTGTTTTCTTAACTTTTCCGAGTTGAAACACAAAGAAAAAGCACGAAGAAAGAAAAGTTACCTTTGTTACGCTTTGTCACGCGTTGTTTTCGTGTCGGCTCGCATCATCAATGCTATTTTAACTTTAATTATACAGTTTGTACAAATAATCACTTTAGTATCTTAATTAATTTAAAAAAAAAACATTAATTTAACTTCAAAACACCAAAATTTAAAGAAATAAATTTTAAAAAACGAAAATTTGTTTTTGTTGTTTTTATTATACTTGTTTAGGATAAAAATAACTTAAAAACTTTTGATTTCACACATTTGTTAACATTCCACTTCTTGTTTTGGCTTTGTCTCGCGCTCGCTGATAAATTATTCTTTTAATTTCGCGTTTCGTAACTCTTCCGCTCGACCCCAAGTCTGTTTGCTTGTTTTCTTGTACGCTTGCCTTCTACTCCTATTGCCGTTTCAATTTTTTACTCCACCCTTCACACCTAGACCATTCCTTCTACTCGTAGTGCGGCTGCGAACCGAAGAAATAAATATCAAATTGCGCTCGCCGAGCGCGAAACAAGACACTCGCAGCTCGAGCGAAAAACAAAAGCAAACACGCGCGCGTGCACTGTAAATAGAAAGAAAATATATAAAATGAAATCTAAGCGCAAAATGGGAAATTGAAAAATGCACAGATTTAAAATTACAGATTACATCCGAGGCGCGCGCGTCGCGTGAAGAGAGCGCGTCGTGAAAAATAGGTAAAGCCGGTGCGCAATGGAGAAAAATGAGAGCGTGGCGCAAAAGTTGAAAAATATTTTTAATTAAATTGCGCCACCAGATTTATCGCGCTCTATTTGTTTACGTTGATTTTATTTCAGTCGGTTTGATTGCCGTCGAAATTATTTTATTTCAAACTAATTAAATATTGATTTATTCATCTTGTAACTATGGAAAACTAAATGAAATATTACATTTGCTCTCAATTGAGTTGGTTTTATTGCTTAACAAGACGCATAATTCATTTCTTATGTCTCCGTAGCAGTACTCTTCGCTTTGCTTGCGAGCCACCCGAGACATTTTCATAAAAATTACTGTTCAACTGGGATTTTCAGTTATTTCATTCTCAACTTTTATTAAACATCGGATTTGCCTTTGCATATTAATTGCGAATATTTTCTTGCACGGATTAATTTTTGCAATGACTTCTATTCTACTGAGTACGCAAAATATGAAGAAAAAAATTAAATTTATCCAAAAATTATTTTTTCAACAAAATCATTAAAATATTATTAAATAACAATAAAAATATGTAATATTTAACATGTCACAAATGTTTTAAACATGTGTTAGATACTTTTCTGTTAATTAACGATACGAGTGCGCGTGCTTCTTCAGTCTGAAGAAAATGTTAATTAAACCCAACGGTTTTTCATGTTTTTCATATCGTAGCCGAGAAGAAAAACTGCAAGTGCATGCGAGGGCAGCATGGATAAAACTCGAAGCAAAACGATATGCAAGAAAATTATGTGCCACTTTATGCGCAAACACAATACATGTCGAGTCCGCGAGTCGCATTTCACGAGGAAACTCGTTACACCGAATGTAACCGTCGCGGCGCCTCAGCATTGTTAATTAAAACGACAAACTTTGCGCGATATAAGTTTTAATGAAACAACAAAACGGCATGCGGGAAACGAATGAAAATAATTGAAAGCAACAACAAAAAACTACTTTGCCGCTGGATTAATAATAACTAAATAACTAAATAACTAACTGTTTTTGCAGAATTGAGTTTATCTCCAGTTTATTATGTTTGTTGCGGATATTTTAACAAAAAACAAATAAAAAACGCTTGATTTGTGGGGTAATTATATTTTATTATTCAGGATAAGCTTTATTTTTAAGTTTTAACTATACTACTATTGTGTTTACAATGAATGTTGTTTATTATTCAAGAAGTAAACAATTTATCGACAATTGTACTCAATTCAGTATCGCTGCTGCCATCTGTGCATCACTACGTATACTAAACTACTATCACTGTGTTGCGCACTATAACCTTCAACGAAATTCAAGTTAGCGCGCAGTCAGTTCAAAACAAGTTCACTAATAAAATAACACAGCAAAAAACAGAATTTAACATTATAACAACAATGTGTGGCCGTTTAGCTTGGTACGTTTTACATTATTTCATATTATTACATTTATTTCAGCTTCCATATATAATCAGATAAATTTATAACATGTTTTCAATATTTTAGTACACTATGTCCTGATGATATTGTCAACTCAGTTCATCAACAAACAGAAAAAACTAAAAACAATGAAACTGATGCACAAAATGGTAAACCAGATTGGATAGAGAGGCAATATGTTTATACACCTACTTATAATGGTGCTCCAACAACTGTTTTACCAGTAATGGTTCATAAAAGAAGTTTAGGACTCAAAATTAATGAAAATTCATTAAAAACTGATGAAGAAAGTGATTATTGTATCATTCCAATGAGGTGGGGAATGGTTATACCCAATGTAAGTAAATTATATTATTTTATTAGTGTAATTATCTGTGGTTTTCTTTAGAAACCTGAAAATTCCACATTTCACACTCACAATGCTCGAATCGAGAATGTTTTGAATTCTGGCCTCTACAAACCATGTCTATTCAGTGGTAAAAGATGTGTTATTCTTGCTGATGGTTATTATGAATGGAAAACTACTCAGGGAAAAGATCACAAACAACCATTTTATCGTCATTTCAAAGTAATATTTATTTTAACTTATTTCATTTATTTTTAATATTAATTTTATTAATAGTCAAATACTGAAAATGAGAATGGAAAAAATCTAGTTAAATTTGCTGGTTTGTTCAATACTATTCAGGATGAATCTGTAAGTTTCTATTTAAGATTTTACACAAATATTTAATTTTTGAATGATTTAGGGTGTTAAACACACTTGTAGTATGTTAACAAAAGACTCTTCAGCTTCTTTAAAGTGGTTACATCATCGAATGCCACTATTTCTCAACACGCCAGAAGACATTGATAACTGGTTGAACAGCAAAGATATTAAATATGAAGAAGCACTAAAACGTTTACCAGATTATGAAGAAGTTGCACCTGAATTCAAGTTGGATTATTATCAAGTAGATAAAAGTTATGTGAATAATTCTTCTTGTAATAGTGAGAAATGTATGGAACGCATATCTTTGAAGTAAGTTTATAACGCAAAACATGTTAATTTGTTTAACTAAATTTATTTTGTTTATTTACAGAAGAAAGAGTAATACTTTGGATGGTTGGCTTACCAAGAAGAAAAAGATTGATTAACACATTCCTCATTAATTCATCACTTATTTACTAACTATTGTATATTTTTTGTTATTTAATTTCTTATTTTTTGTTTAATCTTGAAGGTAAATTTTGTAAACGTGAAGTTGTGGTTGCCTATAGTATGATACCAAAACTTGAATTATTGGCTTCATGAAACATTAATGATTTCTACAGCAAAGCCTGGAAAGTGACTAACTAAAATTGCATCGCCAGTATTATTAATTTAAACCATGATTGCAAGTGCAGCCGTATAAATTACGAAAAGGGTGGAGAGGTCAAGAAGTTTGAATTGCTGATGAAACACGATACGCTGTCGACGCCATTAAACATGCATCACAAATTGGATCAATCGTCAATGCTCAACAGACAATACACCTTTATTCAGTTACATGCATCAGTTTATTCGTTCTACGCAAGAAACTCGTCTTTTTATGTTTCTATATATAAAAGAAAGAAAATGATTAGACGTTTTATTTTTGTCGTGAAAATCTCGACATTCTCTGTATACAGGACACAGGAAATGAAATTGTTCTATTGTTTATCAAGGAACATGTTTATACAAGTCGTTTTATGTGTCCTGTGTCGCAATTGACGCGTAAATCGCCGTTCCAACCACATAGTTACGATGTTTTATGTTCTCTTGTCTATCAGTTCTCTTTTGTATTGTCCACATGCAATACGTCCCTTGTCGTTTCATTACGTGCACGACAAATTGACGACCAATAATGAAATTACCGCCGACGATTACAAACGTTTAGGTTTCGTGAGTTATTATATTTTGTTCCTATATGACAGGACAAACATAATTGTCGCTGAATCCTAAACCAAAAAAACGAACTGGTAACAAAAACGTTGCTCAAATAATAATTGGAGTCGTAACCAGACGAAAAAAAAATTATATGAAATTATTAGTTCATAGTTATATTAAAAGTTACTTATTTTAAGTCGAGATGACGCTACGATGCACTTATTTGCATTAAATGTCTTATATTTGTATCAGTGAGTGCACATTCGTGTCCGTGTGAGATCACGCGACGAGTTCTTATCTTTTTCACCAAGATATGCGGTAGATTGTGTTTATTTACACTTTTCTACGCAGAATTTTGTCAAGCAACAACACAAAATTACATTTATAATTTTTGTATATAAAATCTATAAGTTTATTCTTTACTTATCCGATGAATAAATAATTTTTGATGCAATATTTCAACAATATATACAAAATAGTAATCAAATGGTCGTAAAACAAAAATTTTATTTAAAAAAATTATGGTAACAACAACAAACAAAGAAATTAGTACTTTAAGCATTTATTTTTAATTAACAATAGAATCTAGGTAAGTCCTGATGTCATTTACGATGTCGCGAAAGTGTATTTCTGTGTACAGCAGTGTGTATTCACGATAAGCGCACATCTTACTTAAATATAATTCTGTAATAAGAACACAGATGCCGCTAGAATGTCAATATTGGTATTAAATTAGTCTGGAGAATTCTTGAAACAAGTTTGAACAAGTTCGACTGCACATCGTGGCCGTGTAAGATCACGCGATGCGCGCTTATCTTTATATTATCGCGATAAAGCGTGTTTGTTTACATCTTCATGCATCGAGTTTCTTCGCATGAAACAAAATCACAATATTTTTATTTTATTCGGATGCATTTATATCTGTTAAATAATGTTTAGGTAATGCATAAATAGTAAAAATACAATTCTAAAATTTTATTAACAATATTATCTTTCAATATCTACAAAAATATTGATGCAACATTATTTTAATTGCTTTACATAATTATTTATATTTCATTTATCATTTAGAATTTGTTTGTTTCACTAAGGAGTTGCTTGTTGATACATAGGTACTAGAGAGTATACACTGCGCGTAACTTACTTAAACGTAACTCTATATATCGACTGTAGATGGCGCTATAATGCACATATTTGCATTAAACAATCCAATAAGATGAGTTGCGCGACGTTTGTTTGTATCAGTGAGTGCACATTCATGTTCATGTCAGGTCACGCACTCCGCGCAATATTAACACTTGATTATATTTATATTTTTACAAATTCATAACGTAATCCTAGTGAACTTATTTTTGTTTCAAACCCAAATTTTCAAACTTTTTACGATTCACTACCAAAGCATGCATATCTATAAATCAAAGAAAAGATAATATTAAAGCTAAAAAAATGCCATTGTAAATATTTAGCCATCAAGCCATTTACCAGTTGTGTGCAGCCGTTCCCTTTTATTTCATTTTCATTCTTATATCTGGTTTAAATACATCGATATCTCCTTTCTACAGTTATTCCTGTCTGATGTTTAATATCCAGGAAGCCACCGCGTCTATTTAAACGCGTAGCGAATGAAAACATAAAATCATAAGCATATTGATGGGTAAAATGGTGGAAAATATAGAAAACAGGAAAAAAAACGCTGTTTGCTCTTTAATAATGTAAACAGTCACCGCTTACGCTTTGTAATAACACTGCATATTCAATGAGCTGAATCGATTTGCTTCCAACGCGTTGATTTTTATTTCGTACGAGGTTTGTTCAAACAGAAAATGATTGGTACAACCATGAATAATGTTTTTTTCAGGGCTGTGTCACAAATATATTGTAACACTTTGTGAGAAAAGTGGGTGTTAAGATGAGACAGTTATGTAAATATTGAGAATGAGCAAACAATTAAATGTTTTGTTCATAAAACACTGCAGCAGAAGTTGAGTCTTGTTATTTTGAGATCCGAAGAGTAGTTCAACTCAATTATCTTAATTTTATAAGTAAGTAATCGGTGTAAGTCAACTCTGCAGGAACTTGCGTTCGTAACTGTGAAATTGAAAGTGAAAGAACAAGTTGCGGGCCGAGCACGTTGACCAACATTGCACAAGAGCAAAATATTTACGAGATTGTTGCGGATTGCTCCAGCGGTCAAGCCATACTTTCTATTTAATTTAATATACGAACAAAAATACATCCAGAAAGCAACAACTTTAATATTTGAAATTTTATTTCTCGAAGTGCAAAAATTGAAGTATTTGCTATATGAATATTTATTTCATTCGTAAGATTAGATTGGATACATTTTTCTTCAATTTGAGTGTTTAGTTGAGCAATATATATACAAATATTAACAAATTCCCTTGGAAACATTCGATACGTGTGAAGCAAATACCTAATCAATTTCCAATCAATCAAAATTTAATTTACTTGAGTACCTTAGGTTCTTAACGATGGCAATATATTTCATGACACCGCGCTTGTGCTTGATTACCGTCTTATCAACGTTTTTCAATGCCAATAATGTGTTGTCGAACACTTTCGACGCATGGAAATTACACTCGCATGTCGATTTGATTACCCGATTGCTCGATTACGTCCACTTGTTATAGATCTCCCTCACACGTGTGGATATAAATATATAAACATTTACGGCTTACATTGAATGACTCAAGTATGAAGATTCCAATATGGTTGCGTCTGGAATGTAGGTTAGGTTAAACAATGAGAGTTTCATTGCTTATTTTATTGAATAATTTGTGGAGGCAGAATATTTAACAATCATTATACTTTTATACCATTAATAAATACTGCAGATGAATCCAAATCGTGAATTTTATTGATTTGTAATAATGCCAATGTTGGAGTTGCGGTATAAGTGCCGAACACAAAAATTTCAACTTTTTTAGTTTTGATTTTTATTTTTATTCCTGCTACTATACTACTACTAGTATTACTGTGAGGCTACTGCCTACTACAATGCTTAAAAACACTTTGTGTGCTTACAGCGACGAATGAACGATGATGACACACAATTACAAATAATTGCCTGCGGCGTATTAACAGCATCGCAGCGTTAGCGTTCACCGGACACCGGACACCAGATCTGTCGGAGAGATCGCAGCTTGCTAATGCTGCAATAATGAATGACAGTCATCGTGATCCAAAACTAAACAGAGAATAACAGCGATGATGCAAGCAAATATGCTTTGGGCTATCAAATGAAATTCCAGCTACCAAACTAGACAATAAGCGAATATTCTCTGCAAAAAAGTGTGTTTGACATTTTGGCATGTAGAAAATGTTAATCAAAGTGTTGAGTTTTTACAAGGACACTTTGTATAAGTTGATACGAGGTGGGCAGAAAGAATGGTGGACAATAGCGCAGCAAAACTGTTCGACCGCAGTTCTGCGTTGGGGAAACTCGGACTCGCAACGTTGAGCGTTCAGTAGTAGTCGTCATTCAGTACAATCTGAAATGCAGATTAGGAAGCAACTTTATCGCGCGGAAAATACCATATATTAAAGTTAGTGATAAAGTATTTCCTATATTTGAATTTCAAGTGGACAATTAATTTGTACTTTGTTAAAGAAAAGGATTGAAAATGGTGAATTCCGAATGAAAAAGGATTATTGTGTATTTTTGTGATAGTGATAGTGATAGTGTGTAATTAGTTGTTTGGATTACATTTCAAGTAAGAATTTTATAAATAATTTACAAGAGAAGTTACAAAATTTAAATTTATTTTAACTGTACTGAGTACCTGAGTACATATGGGCATGACCATTTTTGTATTGTTGTCTATTGTTGGAAACTCATTCTGGTTATAAATAGAATATCAGAAGTAGAATGAAAGCAGAAATCACGTCATTTATTGTTAAAAACGTGCTCAAGCAATGAAACGTAATATTCGAACATTAAGATTACTCAGAAATGATACGAAAATCTGGTGTGTTTCAAGTTAAAATACTTGCTACTTGAAATATCAAACAAAAAGAATATGTAGATGTATATTTCTTGTTTTAGCAACCGCAAAATGAGTAATTATCACCGCGCCAACAGTATTTTAAAGGATCCCGAACAGCAGCTATGCAGTTATGTTAGAAATAACAACGTCAAAGAGATTGCAAAGCTCGTGGAGAACAATAAAGGTTTAATTTCTTTGGTATATGAGGATTATGGTTTGACAATTCTTGAGTTGGCTTGTTGTGAATATGCTGATGATGTCAACGCTGAAACAATTCGGACTCTGCTTAAATGGGGTGCGGATCCTACGAGAATCATTGAAGAAGAAGGATATAAATCTGCTTTACATCTAGCTGCACTTGGTAATATCTTTCAGTGAAAATGTTATGATTTATTTAGAAAAATATTGTTTATTCAGGTCAAAATCCAAGAATTTTAGAAGTCATTGTACAATGCAGGAACGTGGATATTAATTCAACAGCTGAAGGACGAAGTGCGCTTCAAATACTTATCACTGATGCAGAACCAAAACCTAAAATGGAGGAATGTGTGGAGGTTTTGTGGAGACATGGAATTGATCTTCATTATCCTGATGAAAAGAACAACACTGCGTTATATTTCGCAGCAAAGAAGAAACTCACCGAAATTGTAAAATTTATTCTCTCTAAAGACAACACCGTTACCTCCAAGGAAGCTGATGTTTTACGAAAACTAGATCCATCATTATCATTCGTTATTGACGATTCACCTCGAAATCTAGATGGATTAGATTATTTAAAAAAGAAGAACGAGTCTGGTTTCATTACATGGCTTGCAAAGCATTCAGATTTTGATGAAGACTCAATGGAGAAATCATTTTTGCAACTTGCATGCGAACAACACCTCTTACAAGTTGTTGATTTCCTCATTGACAGAAATCCAAACAAAGTAGGTCGTGTTGAAACCCACCCGTTGATATTGGCAGTAGAAAATGGTTACTACCAAATTGTAGAACGACTTTTAAATGCACCAGGTATTGAAATACCTCGTGGTGTTCTCAATGCAGCACTAAAACGTATCGATTGGGATGGTGATAATAAAGTTAACTACCAACGCACGTGTGAGATGATTCTTGATAGTTCAAGGGTGGATGTTAACGAACGCGATAAACTCAATGGTAATTATCCATTGCATTATGCTGTGAAATATGGAGGAAAGAAAGTTGTGCGTGAATTACTCCGTCGGAAAGCGTCCTTGGCGAATAGAGACAAGTTGAACTTTTTGACCATCACTGATATCGACCATGATGTTTTAAAAGAACACCTGGATTCTTGCATTGAAGCACATCCAGGTGATCCAAAGGATCAAAATCGGGAAGGCATGTTTTTAACTTTTGATTACACCACTCTCTTCCCTTCAGAAGGTTATGGTTTTGAAAGACCTGATTCAGAAATGCAGATTCTAAACGCAGTGGTCAAAGAAAGTGATGTAGTGTTACACATGACCAAAGATCGTGAATTGAAACCACTGCTACAACATCCTCTGATTGTTAGTTTTCTCTACGTGAAATGGCATCAAGTGCGTTTTCTGTTTTTGGTTAATCTAATCACGTATCTACTGTTTTGTGCTTCGTTGCTTTGGTTTATTCTGAATAACTATGATAACCCAGACAAGGTACGCATAGATTTTCCGTACGTGTTACTATTTATCACTACACTGTTGATATCAGTGAGGGAAGTAATACAAATGCTGTTTATGGCTAAAAAGTACGTAAGAAACACCGAGAATTGGGTTGAAGTTGGACTGCTTATTGATGTATACCTCATGTTGTTCTATCCGTCAACTGATAAGGACAGACGACCTATGTTTGCGATTGCAATTTTACTAGCTGCATTGGAACTGCTATTCCTTCTTGGAAGTGTTCCTGGATTGTCTACTTATATTGTCATGCTTCGAACTGTTTCTTTCAATTTTGTTAAATTTCTGCTGTTTAACGCCATTTTGATTATTGCGTTTGCATTTTCCTTTTACACACTCTTCAGAAAGGTTCCGGATGAAAGTGAAAATTCAACCAAATCAGTAATTTTGGATAAAACTGAGTCACAAACAGAAGTCCCGGAGAAGAAGGAAGACCCAGCTTTCTTTTCGAATATTTATCTTGCTTTATTCAAAACATTGGTTATGCTTACTGGAGAGTTTGAAGCAGGCGATTTAGATTTTGACCAGTTTCCAATTGCGTCACATTTGATTTTTATCATGTTTGTGGTTTTGATTGCGATTATCCTACTGAATTTATTAAATGGTTTGGCCGTGAGTGATACACAAGAGATCAAGAGTGAAGCCAAGTTGGTTGCACTAACTGCACGTGCCCAATACATATCCTATATTGAATCTATGATATTTGGTAATGTATTGCCATCGACATGTGCTCGTAGTGCTTGGAGTTGGACTCCAAGAAGCAAAATGATGAACTGTTCGAGATGGTGGTTGACCCGGGTGTGTATCGGGCCGCAATTGGAGGGTAATCGATTGAAAGTTTTTCCAAATCAAGAAGGGCGAATTGAATGGCGGTATAAGGCGAGAAAAACTTGTACAGCTCTGTGTGGAGGTGATAAGATTGACGAAAGCACTATTAAATTGGCAAAGGCAATTGTTGCACAGCGTGAGCCTATGGATGAAAATATTCTTTGTAGAAAACTTAATGGAATGATTCAAGAGTTGGCAGAAATTTTACATCGAACTCGAAAACAGAGTTAGTTTACATATTGCATAAGTATTTAAAGTTAATAAAATAAACCTGTGTGGAAAAATATCATTTATTTAGTTTATATCTAAACACTCCCTCATCAGTTTCAGTTTAATTTACTACATACAACAGATAAAAGAGCGCCACTCCAAAAATCGTTTTCGAAGAATTGGAAATACGTCAAGTATTTCTGTAATATAAATAAAACTGAAATAGTCAATGTTTACATTATTGGAAGCATCAGAAGTGTAGAAGTGTAGTTTTTACACATATTTAGTGCCTCGTGTTTTTTGTATAAATTTTGAGTATTCTGATATAAGATGACCAATCTATCTCTATCTATCACGGTAACAAATTCATTAGGTAATAAATAATTAATATTAAACCGTATTTATTAACAAGGGCGTACATATTCAGTTAGTTTCAAAACTGAAATAATCCTTGGTATATTCTGGAATATGTCAGATAAACATATAAAGCTTCAGGAATCACATTTCTAGTACTTTAAACAATTTTGTATTTCCCACTATAAACTCAATGTATTTATACGTTCCGTTTAATTATTTACGTAAAATTCGTACCAAGCCTCAGGGAGGTGGACTATAAAACTTGCTGTTAGACAAAAAAGTCAGCCATTGCTTGTGTCCTAATTAAAAGGTAGAACAGTAATATTAAACAGAAATTTTAGTACACTCCATTAATATTATTGTGAAGTTTTTGGTTTTTCATAAAACTATTAAGTATATGTTTTTGCAACGTATTTCTGCCTTTGCTTTCCTAATCACTTAATCACTTAAAGGAATTTTAATTTAGTTGTTGATAACATTAATGGATCATCAGGAGAAACTTAGGAATTATGTGAAAAATAACAACGTCAAAGAGATTGATAAGCTGGTGAAGAAAAATAAAGGTTTAATTGATTTGGTATATGTGGATACTGGTTTGACAATTCTTGAGTTGGCTTGTCATGAATATGCTGATGATGTCAACGCCGAAACCATTCGAACTCTGCTAAAATATGGAGCTGATCCTACCAAAATATTTCAAGAATGGGGAAATAAATCTGCCTTACATCTTGCTACACTTGGTAATATCTTTAAGTGAAAATTTTATGATTTATTAAGGAAAACATTGTTTATTCAGGTCAAAATTCAAGGATTTTAGAAGTCATTGTACAATGCAAGAAGGTGAATATTAATTCAAAAGCTGAAGAACGAAGTGCACTTCAAATACTCATCACTGATGCCGAACCAAAACCTAAAATGGAGGAATGTGTGGAGGTTTTGTTGAGATATGGAATTAATCTTCATAATCGTGATGAAAAGAACAACACTGCGTTATATTTCGCAGCAAAGAAGAACCTCATCGAAATTGTAAAGATTATTCTTTCTAAAGACAACACCGTTACCCCCGAGGAAGCTGAGGTTTTACGAAAACTAGATCCATCATTATCATTCGTTATTGACGATTCACGTCGAATTCTAGATGGATTAGAATATTTAAAAAAAAGGACGAATCTGGTTTTAAGACATGGTTTGAAAAGCATTCAGATTTTGATGAAGCCTCAATGGAGAAATCATTTTTGCAATTTGCATGCGAAAAACACCTATTAAAAGTTGTTGATTTCCTCATTAAAAGAAACCCAAACAAAGTAGGTCGTGTTAAAACCCACCCGTTGATATTGGCAATAGAAAATGGTTACTACCAAATTGTAGAACGACTTTTACACGCACCAGGTATTGAAGTACCTCGTGGTGTTCTCAATGCAGCACTAAAACGTATCGATTGGGATGGTGGTCATAAAGTTAACTACCAACGCACGTGTGATATGATTCTTGATAATTCTAGGGTGGATGTTAACGAACGCGATAAGCTCAATGATGATTATCCATTGCATTATGCTGTGAAATATGGAGGAAAGAAAGTTGTGCGTGAATTACTCCGTCGGAAAGCGTCCTTGGCAAATAGAGACGAGTTGAACTTTTTGACCATCACTGATATCGATCATGATGTTTTAAAAGAACACCTGGATTCTTGCATTGAAACACATCTAGGTGATCGAAAGGATGAAAATCGGGAAAACATGTTTTTAACTTTTGACTACACCACTCTCTTCCCTTCACAAGGTCTTAAAAGAAGTGATTCAGAATTGCAGATTTTAAACACAGTGACTAAAGAATGTGATGTACTGTTACACCTGACTAAAGATCCCAGGCTAAAACCGCTACTAAAACATCCCCTAATTGAGAGTTTTCTAGATGTGAAGTGGCGTAAAATGTGTTCTTTATTTTGGGCTAATCTAATCACGTATCTACTGTTTTGTGCTTTGTTGCTTTGGTTTATTTTGAATAACTATAAGAAGATTGGAGGGGTAAACGTAGATTGGCCATTCGGGTTACTATTTGCCATGTCTATACTTATGTCAGTAAGGGAAGTAATACAAATGCTGCTTATGACCAAAAAGTACGTACGAAACACAGAAAATTGGATTGAAGTTGGACTGCTCATTGTTATTTACATCATGTTGTTTTGTTCATCAACTTTGCTTCGACGATCTATGTTTTCGATTGCAATTTTATTAGCTGCATTGGAACTGCTATTTCTTCTTGGAAGTGCTCCAGGATTGTCTACTTATATTGTTATGCTTCGAACTGTTACTTTTAGCTTTGTTAAGTTTCTGTTGTTTTACGCTATTTTGATAATTGCGTTTGCGTTTTCTTTTTTAACTCTCTTCAGCAAGACTTCTGACGAAAATGAAGTTTCGGATGCTAGTTTGAATACAACAGAATTACCAACTAAAATCGCAAAATCAAAAGAGAACACAGCTTTCTTTTCGAATATTTATCTTGCTTTATTCAAAACATTAATTATGCTTACTGGAGAGTTCGAAACTGGCGATTTAGATTTTGCCACGCTGCCATATGTTTCACATTTTGTTTTTATCATGTTTGTTGTTTTGATTGCGATTGTTCTACTTAATTTACTCACTGGTTTGGCCGTGAGTGATACGCAAGAGATCAAAAATGAAGCCAAGTTGGTTGCACTAACTGCTCGTGCCCAATACATATCATATATCGAATCTCTAATATTTAGTCTAAACTTCCCCATTCGGAAATTGACATGGTTCTGCATAGGACCGAATTTGGTGGATAATCAATTAAAAGTTTTTCCAAACAAAAAAAAGCGTAGTGGAAAGGAGAAGCGTTGTAATTGGGTCTGGAGAATTGATGAAAGCATTATTAAATTAGCAATGGCGATTGATAAACAACGTAAGCCTTACATGTATTCATAAGGAAATATGAATTATTTTATCAGTAAAATACTATTACTAATCATACAATAGGAAGAAGAACATATTCAAAAACATGTTAGCACAAAATAACAAAACAAGAAAAATTATTGCAAAATTATATCAGAATTTTGTATATTAATCAACAAGGATACAACTAGGAAAAATAAAGCAGTCATATAAATAAAAAAGCAATCAATATATTATTTGTGTACAATTATTACATAATTTTAATATTAATATTAATATTATTTAATATTATAAAATTTTAATATTTTAATATTTCATAATCAATATAGTATACGTTGAAGAATTTACATAACATTCATTGATACACTTTTCTGTTTCAAACAAAAATATTCAAATAAAAATACTCCACCGGATAAAACCATGCCGCCCCCATACATAAAAATTCCAACTAAAATATTTTCAACCCTTATCGGAAAATATTTAGTTGTCTCCTCCGGTTTAATAGTGTATGAAAAATTCCTTTGAATGTAATCTATCAAACCTGTATCGTACATGATCAATAAATGTTTATTAAAACCGTTCCGCAGTGGCATTCCACGTGTCATTGTCACCCATGGAAAATAACTATAATACGATTGGGTTGTGTAAAATACAGGAGTTTGATCTTTTGTTAAATACTTCTTTTCGACCTTCATTGCGTATTGAATACGATTTATAGTGATTACAATAACTCTCGGTTTGCCAGATATTTCTGCGTTATATGCTACATTTGTTCTAGTAACTTCAATCACTGAATACACTGTATACTTCCAAACAGAACCACTTTCGAAATAATCTTCATTTGTTTTTCGTAAAACACCAGGAAGGAAGTGAATGTTCCTTCATACGAAGAAGAATATATAAAACAAAAATCGAGATAGAACCTGGAGAACTGAAAGAATGGACATTGAAATTTCATCAAAAGCGAAGTTGAATCTATAATTAATTAACAAAACCAAAAAGGCATCTACGTAGTTTTGTAATAAACAGTACCCTAATTAATTAATAAGTATAATATTTAACGTAAGGAAAAGTTACAAACTGTAATTGATGTTGTGCTATGATTTAATAATTGTTTTGTTGTTTAGTATGATTATATATTTTATTTTGTACACCTACTCCATCTACAAAAAACAAGTAACATCCTGTTTCTCTTATTAATTAGAGTTTTGGATTTGCTTGTTGATCCATCTAAGATACATCGATACCTTGGTGAATACTCCAGGCAAACCTTCTTGGGCGCACGGTTTCAATGACCAAGACACGACGCCAACTTGGACACCATCAGCATATAGTGGACCCCCAGAATCTCCCTGTCAAAATATCGACATTTATTTAAAAAAATAATGTTTTTTTTTTTTATTTAAGTCTTACACTGCACTGTCCCCGGCCACCTCCGACTACACCAGAACACAACTGAATTTCACTGTTTGTTTTCATAGTATCATTGTAAGTAGCTTCACAGACATCATCTTCGAATACAGTTAAATCAACTTTCATCAAATGACGACTAACATTTCCACCTGTCTGCATAATTAGAAACAAAGTTTATATTCAACTATAAACTTATTAAATGCGGCACTTACTTGTTGAAAACCCCAACCTGCCAAAACAGACGATGCATTTTCAGGGGTGAGGGCCCATGGTTCAGGTAATTGCGTTGGTTGAGCATTGTCATCAAATTCAATAGATTCTTCCAACTAAAAACATAATTATTGCATCTATTCAAAATACAAAAATCTTTAAACTTACTGTTAATATAGCAATGTCAAAGAAACCATGGGATTTACTAAATCCAGCATGGTACACTCTGTCTGATACTTTGATCCTGTTTCTAGTCTCCTGTAGATCCACAACGCCATATTGAATATAAAATTCATATGCTTCACTATAATGATGATGTCAACGCTGAAACAATTCGGACTCTGCTTAAATGGGGTGCGGATCCTACAAGAATCATTGAAGAAGAAGGATATAAATCTGCTTTACATCTAGCTACACTTGGTAATATCTTATAGTAAAATTTTTGATTTATTAAGGAAATATTGTTTATTCAGGTCAAAATCCAAGAATTTTAGAAGTCATTGTACAATGCAGAAACGTTGATATTAATTCAACAGCTGAAGGACGAAGTGCGCTTCAAATACTTATCACTGATGCAGAACCAAAACCTAAAATGGAGGAATGTGTTGAGGTTTTGTGGAGACATGGAATTGATCTTCATTATCCTGATGAAAAGAACAACACTGCGTTATATTTTGCAGCAAAGAAGAAACTCACCAAAATTGTCAAGTTTATTCTCTCTAAAGACAACACCGTTACCTCCAAGGAAGCTGATGTTTTACGAAAACTAGATCCATCATTATCATTCGTTATTGACGATTCACCTCGAAATCTAGATGGATTAGATTATTTAAAAAAGAAGAATGAATCTGGTTTTATTACATGGCTTGCAAAACATTCAGATTTTGATGAAGATTCAATGGAGAAATCATTTTTGCAACTTGCATGCGAACAACACCTCTTACAAGTTGTTGATTTCCTCATTGACAGAAATCCAAACAAAGTAGGTCGTGTTGAAACCCACCCGTTGATATTGGCAGTAGAAAATGGTTACTACCAAATTGTAGAACGACTTTTAAATGCACCAGGTATTGAAATACCTCGTGGTGTTCTCAATGCAGCACTAAAACGTGTCGATTGGGATGGTGATAATAAAGTTAACTACCAACGCACGTGTGAGATGATTCTTGATAATTCTAGGGTGGATGTTAACGAACGCGATAAGCTCAATGGTAATTATCCATTGCATTATGCTGTGAAATATGGAGGAAAGAAAGTTGTGCGTGAATTACTCCGTCGGAAAGCGTCCTTGGCGAATAGAGACAAGTTGAACTTTTGACCATCACTGATATCGACCATGATGTTTAAAAGAACACCTGGATTCTTGCATTGAAGCACATCCAGGTGATCCAAAGGATCAAAATCGTGAAGGCATGTTTTTAACTTTTGACTACACCACTCTCTTCCCTTCAGAAGGTTATAGTTTTGAAAGACCTGATTCAGAAATGCAGATTCTAAACGCAGTGGTTAAAGAAAGTGATGTAGTTTTACACATGACCAAAGATCGTGAATTGAAACCACTGCTACAACATCCTCTGATTGTTAGTTTTCTCTACGTGAAGTGGCATCAAGTGCGTTTTCTGTTTTTGGTTAATCTAATCACGTATCTACTGTTTTGTGCTTCGTTGCTTTGGTTTATTCTGAATAACTATGATAACCCAGACAAGGTACGCATAGATTTTCCGTACGTGTTACTATTTATCACTACACTGTTGATATCAGTGAGGGAAGTAATACAAATGCTGTTTATGGCCAAAAGTACGTAAGAAACACCGAGAATTGGGTTGAAGTTGGACTGCTTATTGATGTATACCTCATGTTGTTATGTCCGTCAACTGATAAGGACAGACGACCTATGTTTGCGATTGCAATTTTACTAGCTGCATTGGAACTGCTATTTCTTCTTGGAAGTGTTCCTGGATTGTCTACTTATATTGTCATGCTTCGAACTGTTTCTTTCAATTTCGTTAAGTTTTTGTTATTTAACGCCATTTTGATTATTGCGTTTGCATTTTCCTTTTACACACTCTTCAGAAAGGTTCCGGATGAAAGTGCGAATTCAACCAAATCAGTTATTTTGGATAAAACTGAGTCACAAACAGAAGTCCCGGAGAAGAAAGAAGACCCAGCTTTCTTTTCGAATATTTATCTTGCTTTATTCAAAACATTGGTTATGCTTACTGGAGAGTTTGAAGCAGGCGATTTAGATTTTGACCAGTTTCCAATTGCGTCACATTTGATTTTTATCATGTTTGTGGTTTTGATTGCGATTATCCTACTGAATTTATTAAATGGTTTGGCCGTGAGTGATACACAAGAGATCAAGAGTGAAGCCAAGTTGGTTGCACTAACTGCACGTGCCCAATACATATCCTATATTGAATCTATGATATTTGGTAATGTATTGCCGTCGACATGTGCTCGCAGTGCTTGGAGTTGGACTCCAAGAAGCAAAATGATGAACTGTTCGAGATGGTGGTTGACCCGGGTGTGTATCGGGCCGCAATTGGAGGGTAATCGATTGAAAGTTTTTCCAAATCAAGAAGGTCGAATTGAATGGCGGTATAAGGCGAGAAAAACATGTACAGCTCTGTGTGGAGGTGATAAGATTGACGAAAGCACTATTAAATTGGCAAAGGCAATTGTTGCACAACGTGAGCCTATGGATGAAAATATTCTTTGTAGAAAACTTAATGGAATGATTCAAGAGTTGGCAGAAATTTTACATCGAACTCGAAAACAGAGTTAATTTACCTATTGAATAAGTATTAAAATTTAATAAAATAAACTTGTGTTGAAAAATATAATTTATTTAGTTTATATCTAAACACTCCCTCATCAGTTTTAGTTGAATTTACTATATACAACAGATAAAACAGCGCCACTCCAAAAATCGTTTTCGAGGAATTGGAAATACGTCAAATACTCGTATTTCTGTAATATGTATGTAATCTTGCTCCTCGAATTAAACCACTCGACCAATTTTCTATGAATATTTTTATTACATTAATTAACATTACAAATAATTACTAATGTCGGCCGAAGCCAGTACCTGTACCAAGGCGGAGCGGCGATCTTACCTATGAAAATTGGTTTTCAAGCCGTCTACGCCGAGGTGATTTTAATATGGTCGTAACACTGTCGTAACACTAATAATTGTCTAGAATGACTGATCACTTTTCTGGCTCTCCCTCTCCGCACTCATTCGTGCCAACCCAGAAAAGTGCGAGTCACTAGACTTCTTAAATGGGGAATTTCCCGTTTACATGTATAAATAAAACTGAAATAGTCAATATTTACATTACTGGAAGCATCAGAAGTGTAGAAGTGTAGTTATTACACATATTTAGTGCCTCGTGTTTTTTGTATAAATTTTGAGTATTCTTATATAAGATGACCAATCTATCTCTATCTATCATGGTAACAAAACAGATTTCACATTAGGTAGTAAATAATCAATATTAAAGCGTATTTATAAACAAGGGCGTACATATTCAGTTAGTTTCTAAACTGAAATAAGCTTTGGTATATTCTGGAATATGTCAGATAAACATATTATATAAAGTTTCAGGAATCAGATTTCGTGTACTTTAAAGTGCGCAGTCAAGTGTTACATTTTGTACTTCCCACTATAAACTCAATCTATTTATACGTTCCATTTAATTATTTTCGTAAAATTCGTACCAAGTCTCAGGGAGGTGGACTATAAAACTTGCTGTTAGGCAAAAAAGTCAGCCATTGCTTGTGTCCTAATTATCAGGTAGAACAGTAATATTAAACAAAAATTTTAGTACACTCCATTAATATTATTGTGAAGTTTTTGGTTGGCATAAAACTAGTAAGTATATGTTTTTGCAACGTATTTCTGTCTTTGCTTTCCTAATCACTTCATCACTTAACGAAATTTTAATTTAGTTTATTAATGGATCACCAAAAGAAACTAAGGAATTATGTGAAAAATAACAACGTCAAAGAGATTGATAGGCTGGTGAAGAACAATAAAGGTTTAATTGATTTGGTATATGTGGATACTGGTTTGACAATTCTTGAGTTGGCTTGTTATGAATATGCTGATGATGTCAACCCCCAAACAATTCGAACTCTGCTAAAATATAGAGCTGATCCTACCAGAATATTTGAAGAATGGGGAGATAAATCTGCCTTACATCTAGCAACACTTGGTAATAGATTTTTATGAATTTTTTATAAGGTTTATTACGGAAAACATTGTTTATTTAGGTCAAAATCCAAGGATTTTAGAAGTGATTGTACAATGCAGGAACGTGTATATTAATTCAACAGCTGAAGAACGAAGTGCTCTTCAAATACTCATCTCTGATGCAGAACCAACACCTAAAATGGAGGAATGTGTAGAGGTTTTGTGGAGACATGGAATTGATCTTCATTCTTCAGATGAAAAGAACAACACTGCGTTATATTTCGCAGCAAAGAAGAACCTCATCGAAATTGTAAAGTTTATTCTTTCTAAAGACAACACCGTTACCTCCAAGGATGCTGATGTTTTACAAAAACTAGATCCAACATTATCATTCGTTATTGACGATTTACCTCGAAATCTAGATGGATTAGAATATTTAAGAAGAAAGAACAAAGCTGGTTTTCTTAGATGGCATGCAGAGCATTCAGATTTTAATGAAGACTCACTGGAGAAATCATTTTTGCAATTTGCATGCGAACAACACCTCTTACAAGTTGTTGATTTCCTCATTGGCAAAGACCCAAACAAAGTAGGTCGTATTAAAACCCATCCGTTAATATTGGCAGTAAAAAATGGTTACTACCAAATTGTAGAACGACTTTTACACGCACCAGGTATTGAAATACCTCCCGGTATTTTCAATGCAGCACTAAAACTTATCGATTGGGATGGTGGTGATAAAGTTAACTACCAACGCACGTGTGAGATGATTCTGGATAATTCTCAGGTGGATGTTAACGAACGCGATAAGCTCAATGGTAATTATCCATTGCATTATGCTGTGAAATATGGAGGAAAGAAAGTTGTGCGTGAATTACTCCGTCGGAAAGCGTCCTTGGCGAATAGAGACAAGTTGAACTTTTTGACCATTACTGATATCGATCATGATGTTTTAAAAGAACATCTGGATTCTTGCATTGAAGCACATCCAGGTTATCCAAAGGATCAAAATCGTGAAGGCATGTTTTTAACTTTTGACTACACCACTCTCTTCCCTTCAGAAGGTTATAGTTTTGAAAGACCTGATTCAGAAATGCAGATTCTAAACGCAGTGGTTAAAGAGAGTGATGTAGTGTTACACATGACCAAAGATCGTGAATTGAAACCACTGCTACAACATCCCCTGATTATTAGTTTTCTCTACGTGAAGTGGCATCAAGTGCGTTTTCTGTTTTTGGTTAATCTAATCACGTATCTACTGTTTTGTGCTTCGTTGCTTTGGTTTATTCTGAATAACTATGATAACCCAGACAAGGTACGCATAGATATTGCGTACGTGTTACTATTTATCACTACACTGTTGATATCAGTGAGGGAAGTAATACAAATGCTGTTTATAGCCAAGAAGTACGTAACAAATACCGAAAATTGGGTTGAAGTTGGACTGCTTATTGATGTGTACATCATGTTGTTCTATCCGTCAACTGATAGGGACAGACGACCTATGTTTGCAATTGCAATTTTACTAGCTGCATTGGAACTGTTATTTCTTCTGGGAAGTGTTCCTGGATTGTCTACTTATATTGTCATGCTTCGAACTGTTTCTTTCAATTTCGTTAAGTTTTTGTTATTTAACGCCATTTTGATTATTGCGTTTGCATTTTCCTTCTACACACTCTTCAGAAAGGTTTCGGATGAAAGTGTGAAATCAACCAAATCAGTAATTTTGGATAAAACTGAGTTACAAACAGAAGTCCCGGAGAAGAAGGAAGACCCAGCTTTCTTTTCGAATATTTATCTTGCTTTATTCAAAACATTGGTTATGCTTACTGGAGAGTTTGAAGCAGGCGATTTAGATTTTGACCAGTTTCCAATTGCGTCACATTTGATTTTTATCATGTTTGTTGTTTTGATTGCAATTATCCTACTGAATTTACTCAATGGTTTGGCCGTGAGTGATACACAAGAGATCAAGAGCGAAGCCAAGTTGGTTGCACTAACTGCACGTGCCCAATACATATCCTATATTGAATCAATGATATTTGGTAATGTATTGCCGTCGACATGCGCTCGCAGTGCTTGGAGTTGGAATCCAAGAAGCAAAATGATGAACTGTTCGAGATGGTGGTTGACCCGGGTGTGCATCGGGCCGCAATTGGAGGGTAATCGATTGAAAGTTTTTCTAAATCAAGAAGGACGAATTGAATGGCGGTATTTGAAGAGAAAAACTTGTACAGCTTTGTGTGGAGGTGATAAGATTGACGAAAGCACTATTAAATTGGCTAAGGCAATTGTTGCACAACGTGAGCCTATGGATGAAAATATTCTTTGTAGAAAACTTAATGGAATGATTCAAGAGTTGGCAGAAATTTTACATCGAACTCGAAAACAGAGTTAATTTACCTATTGAATAAGTATTAAAATTTAATAAAATAACTCTGTGTTGAAAAATATAATTTATTTTGTTTATATCTAAACACTCATTCATCAGTTTCAGTTTAATTTACTATTAGGAGGTTTTCAAAGAATTGGAATTACGTCAACTATTTCTGTAATATAAATAAAACTGAAATAGTCAATGTTTAAATTTCTGGAAGCATCAGAAGTTTAGTTTCTACTGGTTTTTGTATAAATTTTGAGTATTCTCAATTCAAACATAGTTAGATTTAATAATTCGAAAGGAACTATTTTTGTACATTGTTGCAAAACTTAGATAATCACACGAAGTTCCAGGAAAAATTTTTTAAAGTTTAACGTGTGCTAAATATTTATATAGAACGTTACATATAATTATTTGCTTTAAATTCGTGCCACGCCTAAGGTACGAGAACTATAAAACTTGCTGCTTAACAAAAAATTCAGCAGTTCGTATCAAAACCTTTTCGCTGTAAGATTGAACAAAGATGTCTGTGCAATCAGTTAATACTGTGAGGTTTTTTGATTGTCAACGACTGGTAAGTACACCTTTTAGAAACATATCTCTGTATTTGTTTTAGTTTTTTATAAATCACTAATGCCATCGTATTTTTCTATTTAGAAACAAATTGTGGCAAAAATGCTAAAACCATTTAGAAAATGGTGGCATCGAAAAGAAAATCATCTAGATACATTAAAAGACTTCGTAGAAAATAACAAACTTTCAGATATCTCCGAACTGCTGGATGACTATCCTGATCTAGTCTCTCAAAAATTCCTCAATGGTTTAACAATATTAGAGGTAGCACTTTACGTATTTGCTGATGACGTAAAGTTGGAAACCTTCAAGGTATTAGTTAAGAAGGGTGGAAAACCCAATCAGACTTTTAAAGACTGGGGCTATAAATCTGCTTTGCATTTTGCTGCAATGGGTATGGTATAATGATTAATGTTGATTAATATTTTAATGCTTTAACTTGTTAGGTCGAAATCCAGAACTTTTGAGGTATATTGTTTCAAAAACGACGGACATAAATGCGACTTCTAACGGACAAAATGCTCTTATCATTCTCCTATCGGATGACGGGTGTAATATAAAAGACGAAGACCAAATATTGAGATGTGTTGAAATTTTGTGTGATAACGGAATTGATCCACATTGTTGCGATGAAAACAACAACACGGCTCTCAAATTTGCAAAATTAAATAATTATAGTGAAATAGAAAATTATCTTGCAGAAAAATTGAAAGCACTAGCTACTCCTAACAAGGAGAATATTTTTGTATGTTTGAATTATCTTAAAGTTAACGAAGAAGATAACTTCAGAAAATACCACACAACTTTAAAAAGTGAAGTCGTTGATACTATATTGGAAAAAACTTTTCTACAAATTGCGTGCACAAAAAACTTAATTAAAGTAGTTGATTACCTTATTAATGTAATAAACGTCGATCCTAGTGGATTAGGCAGTATTAACAAAACGCCTCCATTTATTTTGGCCATGCAAAAAGGCAATAAACAAATCATTGAATATTTCTTAAAGATTCAAAATTTCAAATTACCTGACAACACAATCTTTGAATTTTTAAAACCAATCCCTTGGAATGGTTTAGAGGAGAACAACCTCTCACTGTTTCAATTGATTTTTATTGAATCATACTTAGGACAGGAATTTGTGAATAAAAAAAATGACAAAGGTAACTATGCTCTGCACCATGCCATCAAATATAATGGAAAGAAGACTGTTCAAGCTCTTCTACGCGCTAAAGCGTCATTGGCAAATCGCAACAAATTAAATATTCTCACAATCACAGACATTGATTACGGTACCCTGAAGGCTCATCTAGATTCGTGCATTTGCATGTATAATCAAGAAGCTAATCACAAATTTGGATTTAAAGACATGAAACATTTATGCATTGACTATAGAACATTGCTTCCGTCCACTGAGATGGATATTGAAACGGGTGCTATTTTATACATGGCTAATAATTCCGAGCTGAAGCCACTCCTGAGTCATCCTGTAATCGATATTTTTCTAACCGCAAAATGGCACAAAACTAAAAATGTTTATTATATTAACTCATTTTTATATTTGGCACTTTGTGCTATTTGGATATGGTATAGTTGGAGTCCTTCCACATGGTTATATTTCCTTCTTTGGATTACAGTCGTTCTTAGATTTTTTAAACTTATATTTCATTTATATATAAAAGTTAAAAAATACGGTATATGCGCATTTTTTGAATACATTTATATGGAAACTTATATTGGAGCTTTAATGCTTGTTGCTTATTGTACATTTCTTATCGGTTTTTACCAGAAACCCATGTTTGCAATTGCATCAATTTCAGCGTGTGTAAGATTTCTATTTTTATTTGGATTTCATCCTAATTTACATTTTTATATCATTATGTTGAAAACGGTTACCGCAAATTTTGTGAAAGTTTTTTCATTTTTCTTTCCTTTAATATTGACATTTGCACTTTCTTTTCATTTGCTTTTCGAAAATTCAGACAAAAAGACAAATATGTTAAACTTTACAAATAAAACGACCTTTTTTGAAAATTATAGTGACTCGCTTTTAAGAACATTGGTCATGTTTTGCGGCGAAATTGGATTAGACTCTTTAGCCTTTAATGAGTTTCCGATATGGTCGCGTATTATTTTTATTACTTTCCTTTTCTTTATATCGGTTATCTTGATGAATTTAGTAACTGGTTTAGCAATAAATGACGCTCTAGTTATAACAAAAGACGCAAAAATATATTCTCTAATTAAACGTGCGGAAAATGTTGCATTTATTGAAATGGTTTCTTTAAACAAATATATGAGCACAGTTATTAAGATGTTGATATTACCAAACTTTAACAATTTTCGTTATTTACACGTGTATCCAAACTATAAAGGAGAAATTAGGTGGATAGCAAGTGAAGACGGCCACAAATCAAACGAACCACCCCAATCTTTTGCATTCTATAAAAACTTTTTCAACCTGGATCAATATAAGTTTGATAATAGCACATTGAAAGAAGCTGAATCTATAATTGAGGCAAATCAGTCATCTGCGTAGTTTGGAAAACTGTTCTATAATTAATTAATATGTTTATTATTAACCATGAATGAATTACAAAATGTAGGCGTCGTTGTGCTATAATTCAATAAATGTTTTGCTGTTGTACGATTATATTTTATTTTGCACACCTACTCCATCTACAAAAAGCCAAGTAACATCTGATTTATTTCTGTTATTAATTAGAGTTTTGAATTTGCTTGTTGATCCATCTAAGGTACATCGATACCTTGGTGAATACTCCAGGCAAACCTTCTTGGGCACACGGTTTCAATGACCAAGACACGACGCCAACTTGGACACCGTCAGCAAAGAGCGGACCACCAGAATCTCCCTGTCAAAATATCAACATTTATCTTTTAAAATTACTGTTTTCTTATTTAAGTCTTACACTGCACTGTCCCCGACCACCTCCGACTACACCAGAACACAACTGAATATCACTGTTTGTTTTCATAGTATCATTGTAAGTAGCTTCACAGACATCATCTTCGAATACAGTTAAATCAACTTTCAACAAATGGCGACTAACATTTCCACCTGTCTGCATAATTAGAAACAAAGTTTATATTTAACTATAAACTTATTAAATGCGGCACTTACTTGTTGAAAACCCCAACCTGCTAAAACAGACGATGCATTTTCAGGAGTGAGTGCCCATGGTTCAGGTAATTGCGCTGGTTGAGCATTGTCATCAAATTCAATAGATTCTTCCAACTAAAAACATAATTATTGCATCTCTTCAAAATACAAAAATTGTTAAACTTACTGTTAATATAGCAATGTCAAAGAAACCATGGGACTTACTAAATCCAGCATGGTACACTCTGTCTGATACTTTGATCCTGTTTCTAGTCTCCTGTAGATCCACAACGCCATATTGAATATAAAATTCATATGCTTCACTATAAAACCAACATTTATGATTAAATTTTAATAGTTTTTCTAAGTTAAGGAAACGTACAATCCTTGTACACAATGAGCAGCTGTCAAAATGTGGGTTGCGTCTAAAATGGAACCACCACAGTTGTGTCTTCCAAAAATTTGAATCGACACCTAAAATATCATAATAAATAAGCAAATATGATAATTTAAGGATAAATGTCTTACGATGTAAGGAAATTCACCTAATGTAGCCTGGGTTCCATTGACAATTCGGGGAGAGTCACCTGTTTTGAACAAATAATATTAAACTACCTAATTTTAAGATATAATTTCCCAAAATAAAAATGGTTACCTGAACTACCAGCAACACAAATCGATATGAGCACTACCAACTTATACATTGTAAGCAAAATATTAGTATTTATATAATAAACTAAATATTTCATAGAATTTCGTTAGGTTTATTGGGTATATATACTTTTGAAATACGTGTTAAAATTTAAATAAATTCATAACTTGGTGTTCACGAACATTTGCGAAATTCTTTCCTATCATGAACAATTCAGTTATTATGGAATGCTTGGTCGACAATATATAAATAAATTAAACACGTGGTAATGTACAAAAACGGTTACATGTATTCATAAGGAAATATGAATTATTTTATCAGTTAAATACTATTACTAATCTTACAATAGGAAGAAAAACATATTCAAAAACATGTTAGCACTAAACAACAAAACAAGGAAAATGATTGCAAAATTTTATCAGAATTTTGTATATTAATCAACAAGAATACAACTAGGAATAATAAAGCAGTCATAATAAAAAAGCAATCAATATATTATTTGTGTACAATTATTACATAATTATAATATCATTGCCTTTCATTATCAATGAAGTATAAGTTGAAAAAAATTATATAACATTCATTGCTACGCTTTTCTGTTTCAAACAAAAATATTCAATAAAAAATATTCCACTGGATAAAACCATGCCGCCCCCATACATAAAAATTCCAACTAAAATATTTTCAACCCTTATCGGGAAATATTCAGTTGTCTCCTCCGGTTTAATAGTGTATGAGAAATTCCTTTGGATGTAATCTATCAAACCTGTATCGTGCATGATCAATAAATGTTTATTAAAACCATCCCGCAGTGGCATTCCACGTGTCATTATCACCCACAGAAAGTAACTATAATACGATTGAGTTGCGTAAAATACAGGAGTTTGATCTTTTGTTAAATACTTCTTTTCGACTTTCATTGCGTATTGAACACGATTTTTAGTGATTACAATAACTCTCGGTTTGCCAGCAGCAAGAGCCTCAAAATGGCCTGTAAAGTCCTTCTCCTGCGTGATCACCCATTGTTTTAACATTCGTTCTATATAATATTCTTCACCATCACTGAATACAAATCTTGATTGTATACTTCCATAAACAGGAAGACCACTTTCGACGATATCCTGTGTAGTCTTCATTTGTTTTTCGAACAAAGGTTGCACTAGGAAGGAAGTGAATGTTCCTTCATACGAAGAAGAATAAATAAAACAGAATAAAATCCATGATAAGCTTAAAATTCTATGAATTGATGATACCGGTAATTTTACACTCTCAGAGAGCGCAATTGAAAGAACATAAAAAAAAACCTTTTGAAATTTCATCAAAAAGTGATTCATTTTTCAAAATTACCCTTCTACACCTTCCAAATATTAAATCGACCAAAACAAATCCGAAAAACGTAACAAAGAAGCATTTCCAAGCTGTAAGATTAAACATTCTAGTAATATCCAACCATGGAGATAGTCGTTTTGCTTTGGGAACGAATAAATTCAGCGAGGTATAAATTGTTGGTACTGATTGGTCAAAATATTCCACCATGACCGGGCCGCCGTATACCATTCCAAACATCATGTCTGCTTCCCGACGATATAATGCCCCCCACATGCAACATGATACGCCATCATTTATCATATAACCAAACTCAGTGTAATTGTGCCTGATGTAAATCAAAGTGAAGTTCATTTTCTCCGCTAGTATTCCCACTATTATAGGTTCTAATCCTTTGTTATTCTTTGAGAAAACATCAGTTATAAATGGTATCACATAGGGATTCACTATTGCATAATATGGACATCCTTCAAACTGATTATATTTTCTTTCAAAGACTTCTTTTATTGTGTTGTTTTGTAATGGTAATGGTAGCATTTCACACGATGTTAATATTTCCATGTTTATCAATGTGCAGTGTTTGTGTGATAATTTCTTTTGGGCGTGAATATTTCCATGTTTATCTAGGATTATTACACGAAATGCATACACTTGCCAAGCTGCTTCTGATATTCCATTCATATCTTCGACTTCTCCAGAGTAAATGATTAAGTATTTACCGTTGCTATCAAATCTTTTTGATTTACGCCAGTTTTCAAAAAATAGTTTCACATGTAGTACTGTTTCAGCTAGTATTATAATGTTTTCAGCGGATGTGTATTGATCTTTAGTTATTATGGATTGTATAGCGTTTATTAATATATCATTTTTTAAAGGAATTATATTCATCAGTTGCAGGAATAGCCCTTCATAGTTTTTTTCATCTTTTGGAAAAACAATCAATGAGGTTTTATTGTCTGTATTCATTGATTCTATAATTGTTTTCAAACAAGCTGTATTTGCAAAATTATCGTCATTCACAACAAGTATTTTATTTTGAACAACATTTAAATAAAATGTAATGTATATTATACCCAGATTTATTTTGAACATTGTTGGAATGATTGGGTATAAACTATCTATGACATAAACTTACTATATACCTAAACAAAATGAACTAAGGGGTGCGTGCAATTTTACATAAATTATTTATTGAAAGGACTGATTATTAGAATTATTTACACATTATACATGTTTTGAATAAGACTTTATATGGTTTTGTTTGTTCGTATGGATTATTAAATATTTGATTATGTATAGATACGTGCACTTGTGTGTTGCATTATTTATTAGCTCATGAAGTGGCCTTTTTATTATATAGTCGTCATATCAAAAAAAAATCATAAACTATATCATAACCACAAATAATTCATTCCTGCTTCAGTTTTAGGTTGTATACTTTTGCGACGTTTTATTGTTATTGTACTACGAGTAAATAACAGAACCCACTCAACCCAAACAGGAGAAAATAAAAACAATAGAGTGAAGCGAGAAGAACCTGAAGAGCTGCGACTAGATATTGAAAGAAGATGAATCAATAATTAAGGCAAATCAGTCATCTACGTAGTTTTGAAAACTGTGCTTCGTGAATGAATTACAAAATGTTGATGTTCTGTTTACAAAGTTTGAAGACATCGTTGTGCTATGATTCAATAAATGTTTTGTTGTTGTAGGATTATGTTTTATTTTAGTATACATATTCAAGTTGCAAAATGCCAAGTAACATGTGATTTATTTCTCTTATTTATTAGAGTTTTGAATTTGCTTGTTGATCCATCTAAGATACATCGATACTTTGGTGAATACTCCAAGCAAACCTTTCTTGGTGCATGGTTTCCGTGACCACGAAACGATGCCAATTTGGACCCGTCAGCATATAGCGGACCAGAATCTCCCTGTCAAAATATTAACGTATATTTTAATAAAATATTATTTTCTCTTCTAAATTCTACCGTGCAACACCAGAGCACAACTGAATTTCACTGTTCGTTGGCTTCTTATAATTAGTATAGGTGGCTTCATAGACATCATCTTCCAATACAGTTAAATCAACTTTCATCAAATATCGGCTAGTAATTCCATCTGTCTACATAATTAGAAATAGAGTTTCTGTTTAAGTATAAATTTATTAAATGCTGCACTTACTTGTTGATAAACCCAACCTGCTAAAACAGGCGGAGCATTTTCAGGGGTGAGTGCCCATGGTTCAGATAATTGTACGGGTTGGGCATAGACATCAAATTTAATAGATTTTTCTAACTAATAACACAATTATTGCATCTATTCAAAATACATAAATTAACTTACTGTTAATATAGCAATGTCAAAGAAAAGGTAAGTTCTCTTAAAACCAGCGTGGTATACCCTGTCTGATACTTTGATCTTGTTTCTAGTCTCCTTTAGATCCACAACGCCATATTGAATATAAAATTCATGTGATTCACTATAAAACCAACATTTATCATTAAATTTTAATAGTTTTTATAAGTTAAGGAAACGTACAATCCTTGTACACAATGAGCAGCTGTCAAAATGTGCGTTGCGTCTAAAATGGACCCATCACAGTTGTGTCTTCCAAAAATTTGAATCGACACCTAAAATATTATTATTATTAAAGAAGTATGCTATTTTAAGGATAAATTTCTTACGATGTAAGGAAATTCACCTAATGTAACTTGGGTTCCATTGATAACTCGGGTAGAGTAACCTTTTTCAATAAATAATATTAAACTATCAAATTTTAAAATATATCTTCACGTAATAAAAATGGTTACCTGAACTACCAGCAATGCAAATCGATATGAACACTACCAACTTCATTGTAAGCAAAATATTATCAATTATATAATAAACTAAATCTATATATATAAAATTTGCGGGTCACAGTGTTTGTTTCCATACTCCTCCGAAACGGCTTTACCGATTTTACCAAATTTTATATGCGTATTCAGTAGGTCTGAGAATCGGCTAACATCTATTTTTCATACCCCTAAGTGATAAGGGTTGTTCACCCTTAACTTTTTTAATTTTTGGACAAATTCTTTTGTTTTTATTTTTTATAATGTGGAATTAAAAATACATACAACCCTAAATTTTAGTTTTTATCACCAACCCCTATTTCTTTATAGCCATTTTAGTAATTTAATCATTTTTCATCCCGCTCAAAGAAAATTTTTATATGCGTATTCAGTAGGTCTGGGAATCGGTAACTTCATATCTCTAAGTGATAAGGGTTGTTCCCCTTAATTTTTTAAAATTTTGGTAGAAATTTTTGTTTTTATTTTTTTAATGTGGCATTAAAATATACATACAACCCTAAATTTTGGTTTCTTATCACCAACCCTATTTTTTATAATAAGTAAGTTACTTTTTGTCTACACTAAAATTTATCTAGAAACTAGAAATAATTTATATGGCAAAACAACGTTTGCCCGGTTAACTAGTATTTTATAAAATTGCATTTGGTTTATTGGGTATATATATGAGCCGTTTATTTTGAAAGTGACCTAACTCCGTTTTCAATTTTTACCGGTTACCATGGTTACATGTACAACTTCATGTTATTTATCAGTGACACACGTCAGATTGCTTATATTCAGAGAAAATACGGTACATTTTTACACATAGGTTTTACGAATTAATTGAATAACTGACCCGTGTGGTTTGAAAGTGGCCTAACTCCATTTATAGTTACATCAAGGTATTTACTATTGATAATAACGGAAAGCAGCGATGAAGGTAATTTCAATTAATTAGTATTTACAAGTCCACCTCATTTTGGGACAATTGCGTTAGTTAATTAACCTGTACGATTAATTAATATAAAACTTAAAATTTAATATTAAATTATAGAAATTATTACACCCATGAGGAAGAACCGAAGAAGACCACTTAGTTCAGATAGTGAAAAGATATAGTAATTAATACCTAATTAAAAAAAAGCGAATAAGAAAAAGAGTTATAAAACAATATTCCTCGTCAGAGGATGAAGATTCAAATAACAATGGAGAAAAGATTGATGCACCATATATCCAAAAAGTGCGAAAGATAAAACGGAATTCAGGAAAAAGATATTGCAGTTAAACCGGAAGTATTGTTCATGAAAAAAATTTCGAAACAAAGATTGTGGTTGTCGGAATGCGTGCACAAAAAATTATAATGAAGAAGAAAGAAAGAACATTTTTGAGAAGTTTTGGGGTTTGGCAGATTTTAACAAACAAAATGTATTACTTCACGAAGCTGTCTGTGAAACGAAGACGTTTTTTTTCTTCAATTTGAAACATCTTAAATTATGTTGAATGGACTTGGGCATCTTCAAATTTTATAATGAATCTGGCTGTTAATTTTGAAAGTGGCCCAACTCCATTCTTGATAAGGAAACGCACGTTATTTACTTAATAATTGCCACTATTTTAACTGGAACTTTAAATTTAACATCCTTAGATACGCTTAAGCAGTATGACTTCTTTGTATCTTATACGTATATTTTTAAATTCATTGAAACGCAAAACTTTCAATATCTCGATTTGAAGATAAATGGAGTTAGGCCACTTTCAAAATAAGCGGCTCATATATACTTCTACAAACGTGTTCAATTTTATATAAATTTTTATGATTGTACCGGATCTGGAAATACAACAATACGCTTAGTGATAAAGCAAGTCAGCTAGATATAGTACTATCGGTGAAACACCGTGCGACGCAACACACGACGAACTTTTGCACGAATAAAACATAATCACGACTGTACTCACACATTGTGTACTCAAAATACTTTACACCAGCACAACTATTACTAAAATATTAATTTTATGCATTTACATGTATTCTAAAATGTATTTATTAAATTGTTTTGTGATTTATATGGATTTTACAATTTTGTATGAGTTTTACATGTTTCGCCCTGTGGGCATCGTCAGAAAGTTTCACAAAAACTCAAAACAATTTAATAAATACATTTTATAAACATGGATTACGTATTCAAATTAGAAAATAATAAAATACATGTATTCTTTTATTATATAAATATTCCGCAAAAAATACTCCACTTGATAAAACCACACCAAACACGTACATAACAAATGCAATAAGAATATTATCCAAAGCAATCGGAAAATATTCACTGGTCTCATCTCGCTTCGGTGAAATATAAGTGTAATTCCGCTGATAATAATCCATCAAACCAGAGTCATGCATTGCTATCAAATGCCAATTAATACTCTCTCTGATAGGCATGCCTCGTCTCATCACCACCCACAAAAAGTAAGTACTTACACTTGTTTTATACAAAGCAGGTTGATGTGAACTGGTTAAAAACTTTTTCTACTTTCATTCCGTAGTGTACCCGCAGATGATTAGCTGGAACAACAATTTTTCTTGTGTCAATAACCTTCTGGAGATAATGCACAGTATCTTTTAAATCTATGAGCTTCCATGTCTTCAATAACTGCTGGCTGGTTTCATATTGGTCTAATTCAAACAGACTCCGACTTTGTGGTGATCCATAGGCAATCAAGCCATTATCTAAGACATCTTGAGTAGTCTCTATTTGTTTTTCGAACACTGGCTGTACCAGAAAGGAAATAAACGTGCTCTCATACGAACTTGAATAAATAAAACAAAAAAGTATCCAGGATAGGATTAAAAATCGATGCACTAAAGTTACAGGTAATTTTACACCTTCAGTGAGTGCGATTGCAAATAAATAGAAAAATGAATGGGAAATATCTTCACGGCTTGGTGCACATGGATCAATAATTGTATATCTTCTGATGGCAGTATGCAACAAAGTAAAGAGCACTAATGCAATAAAATAAGAGTTCCAAGCAAATGCACTGTAAATTTTTGTAATATCCAACCATGGTGATACTCTCCTTGCTTTCGGGATGTACAAATTCACATTTGTTATTATCGTTGGTGACGTAGCATCAAAATATTTTAGCATGTGAGGTGTGCTATAGACCATTCCAAACATCAAGTCGGCTTCTCCACGATATAATCCACCAAACATACAGCATGATACACCTTGAAGTACCAACACCCCAAATGTGCTGTAATTATGCCTGACGTAAATCATACTAAAGTTGAGTCTGTGCGCAATTATTTCCATTATATAAGGTTCTAATCCTTTGTTGTCTTTGGAGAATACGTTAATTACAAATGGAACTACATATGGAGTTGTCATCGCGGAGAATGGACATCCCTCGAAGGTTTTGTATTTTCTTTCAAGCACATTCAATACTCTGGTATGCGTATTGTTTATATCAAAAGTTTTACAATCAGTTAACTTCTCAGTAGTTGTTAATTTGCAATTTTGAGACGATAATTGTTTTTGTACGTGAATATTTCCATCTTTATCGATGATTATCACACGATATGCAAATATTTCCCATACAGCTGCAGAAACACTCTGAATATCTTCAACAGGACCGTAGTAAATGATTAAATACTTGAAATGATTATTATTACGAAAACTAGTTGTATTGGACCAGTTTATTAAAAAGTGGCGTATTTCTATTGCCATTGTAGCAATAATTATTATATTATTAATACGCACAGGTCTTTCAAATGTTATTGTGCTGATATTTTGCAGTATTATTTGGTTTGTAGGAAATCTTGGCAATACTAACATTTCTTTTTCGTATTCCGGCAGTGTAGTTAATTCTACGATCATTGTTGTTTCATCTTGGGCAATTAATATATCCAGGATGTGTTTAACGCAAGTTTCACGTTCGGTAATGTTGTGAATAAATTCTTGTGTAAATAAATTCTGAGTGTGTTTTAGATAACACAAAACAAGTAATATCTGAAGATTTAAGCTGCACATTCTGCTCCATGAGTGTTTGGAATGAAATTAACACAAAAGTTTACTTCTGAGGTTTGATTCGTAACGTTAATTCTCCAGAAAATATAGACTTTTTATTTATTCCGTATAAATAGTTCTAATAAACGTGTGTTTATCTATTATTTACGATTGAATGTTGTTATCGAGAAAGGAATTTGTTTCCCCAAGTTCTGAACGCAAATCATGTAATATGAAAAAAATAATAGTATTTAACGAAACTATTTTATTATTCATATACATATCTTTGTAAGTTATTATCATTTAAATCAAATTTAGTCGTTACAACTTTTTTTAACACGCATTTCTATTTACGATCAAATCTGTTAATTTAAAATGTAGATTGTAGATTGTAGATTGCATTGATCATGGTAAATTTATGTTGCTCATTAAACTATGTTCATGAGTGCGTGTTGTCATAGATTCTATTGACAAATATATGTAGCAATATAACACGAAAATAACTGGTAAGTGACCTTGTGATTCCAGTGCGCTGATGCGCGCTGCTATCGCAATCGGCATTCGCAGCGAGACTGCAGCGCGCTGCCTTGCAGTTCAGTTTGTTGTGGTCAACGGACAGCATGTCACTCTCGCGAGTCGATATGTTTGGTGATCTTATTCGCAAGGTCTCGTTACATATCTACCTGATGGGCACTTGCTCATCGGTTTCCGGTGTGCGCTTTGTGGTAAGTTTGGTAATTTGTTGTAGTTGCAACTGTAGTAGTAGTAGTAGTATTAGTGGTTTAAATATTTAGTATTGCTTGCATTCAATTATCAATTAGAAAAACAAGCAATATTTTGTGATATGTAAACAGTTTGTTTAATTTCTTTTTTGTTTACATTGTAGATGAGGTTTGTTACATTCATGGATACGTGAAAATCAGAAATCACTTCTTCGATCCTTGGGAAATTCGATAGAAAATGGTAAAATCGTCTGTCACTGGACGTAAAATGATTCTCCTTTAGGTAAGTTCATAATTTAATTATTTTTATTACCAAAATATACACCTAAAACGTGCATAGTAAAATATTATTCTTGTTTCTATTTTTGCGTGCTTAGGAGAATTTGTGTATAAACAACCTTTTTATCGTGTTCTTTTGATCTATCGTGTGTTGTTTCAATGTTCATAGCGTGCATTCAAATACGCGTCTAATGATTAAACTACGATTTTCAAATAATTAAATTTAAATGATTCCAACCTTTAAGCATTCGTATTGCAATACTAGATATTCTAGATTCTTAAATATGTGCTTTGGAAATACTCTGTATCTAGTGAACTAATTGACTATCTTAGAGTTTCTCCACGCCAGAATAAAGTTATAGAGTCCCTCTACACGATGAATGCCTTTTCAACCTTCTAGCCCTTCCGAAAGTGCGTTAAAATGCCCTTCAAAAATCAGCATTTTTAGGAAAATTTGAAAAGATAAGGTGTAAAACACCCTGTGTCTCCAAAACGAATTGACTTTCTTCAAGTTTCTCTACGCAAGAACAGAGTCAGGGAGTTTATCTACACGATGCATACGTTTTCAACATTCCAGCTCTTTGGGAAGTGCCCTAAAATGCCCTTAAAACTGAGCAATTTTAGATAAATTTGAAAACATAATGTAGAAAATACCCTGTATCTCGTAAACAAATTGATTTTCTTGAAGTTTTTAAACGTCATGTTAAAGTTCGAGAGACCCTTTACACTATGCATACCCTTTTAACTCTATAAACCCTTTGGAAGTGTCCTAAAATCCCATTCGAATATCGCTATATTTGTCAAATAAATTTCGTTTTTTGGTCGAATAACAGGGTTGAACTTGTTTAAATAAATATTATCTGCTCAAAGAACAGGGTCAAACTATTTTCGTTAAATTTTTTCGGTCAAATTTATTTGTTAAAAATTTTTTGGTCGAATAACCGGATCGAACTTTTTTTCATAAAATTTTTTTGGTCGAATTTTTTTGTTGAAATTTTTTCGATCGAATTGTTTTGTTAACATATTTTTGGTCGAAATTTTTACCTAAAATTTTTCGGTCGAATTTTTTTGTTAATTTTTTTTATCTAAAAACAGGGTCGAACGTTTTTACTTAAAATTTTTTCGGTCGAATTTTTTTGTTAAAATATTTTCGGTCTAAAAACAGGATTGAACTTTTTTTCATAAAAATTATTCGGTTGAATTTTTACGTTAAAATTTTTTAGCACTTTTAGTCGCGTTTTTCGACCTTTTACTGTAAGAAATATAATTATTTTATATTTTTATCTGATAGATAATTTTCCAATCTTCTGTAATCAACAATATGTGTAGAAGATATTCGTTGTCGAAAATTGTCGATAAAAACTATCAATTAATAATATAATAATAATTATTATAATATTATAATTTGATTTATTTATTTTGAATAAGTGTATCTTATTGACTTCTATATTTGGAGTTTTGAGTTATGTATAAACATTGCTATTTGTTTAGATAGGGTGGTACATGCGCACTCTCGTGTACGTGTGATACACGGACACAGCCATTTAAATGCGTGACCACTCACTGACACCTAGGCAATCGCTCACTGCCTCATATGCACGCCAAACTTTTTGAAGTACTTTGTATTTTCTTGAGGTGCAATAAAGTATTCACAGATAGCGCAACGATGCAGGTTGTAAATTAAAATATTCCTGCGAGTGAAAGTCGACGTGCACAGTTGTGGTGCTGGCACGCATCTGTTACTTCATGTGGCAAGTAATAATACTCCGTCGGGTATTCGTGTTTATCGTTGTCAATTCGATATATCCTGTTATATTTGATTGAATTTAGTGTTAATTGTCGTGTTTGGTCATTCGCTAAATATTTTTTCGCGGGTGTAACTTCGTAATTCAATATTTTGTGTGTTTATTACATTTTCGCGTGTACACGTGACCGGTTGCCGTCGGACGCCGGCCGACCGGCTTTGTGTGATTGTAAATAATATTGCAATTAACATTAGACTTCTGCAAACCATTTTTGTCTTCAGCAAAACTCGTAAGGTCAATGTGCTAAATGGTAACTATGCTCATTTAAATAATTGTGGTGAATAAGAGGATATTTAAGGCAAAGTTTGGGTTTGATATCTTGATATCTTGGATTGATATCTTGAACTTAACTTTGTGGAAATTTCTTTCAAGCATTCCGCAGAAAATATGAAAATGGGAATTCAAACTTTTTATTGCGAATATAACGTCGCTCTGAATACTTCATTATAGTAACATTTTACTCTAGGACCCATAGTTTTCCCGGAATTTGACCAAATGTGAAAATACTTCCCAGCAAAAAACTTAAAGTTGAAAATTTATAAGTTTATCAACTCAAGTTACAATAAATTGTTTTTTGGAGGTTTTTATTTTAGTAAAAATAATTTTTAGTGTTCACGGTTTTTATGGAAAATTGAAATAAATTGTTAAAATTGTTCATTGCTCAAATATAAACCGAAATAGAGTAGAAACAATACAGTTTCGAATTAAATATCACTTAAATATTTGATTTAAAATTGGTCAATCTTTTAACAAAAGATTTAAATTTTATTGCTTTATTAATTTTATTAATCTAAATTCCGGGACTTGTATCTGTATCAATCAGAGATGACACTAGCATGAACTAAAAATCATAAAATAGTATAGTTTATTTCTATATTTATCAGCAATCGCATTCGGCACGAGAATTGTGTTTGTTTTGAACACAATTTACACTTTCTTATCGCATTCGCCGCGCGCAATGTAGAGCATGATATTCTCAAGTGTTGTCGTTGCAATCCCCGCACGCCGCATGCAACATATTCTAGTTTAGTAATCTAAAGTCCCATCCCATCGACGCGCCGCCGGCTTTGCGCATATATTGCAATTCGCACACAAGGTCGCGTGAAATCGACGCACCGGCTTTGCGCATCTATTGCTTTTACCTGCTAGGTCACGCAGCAGGTACAGAGTCTTATCGTGAACCGTCGCATCGTTGCTTGCGCAGTTTCGGCAAGCGTTATCGATGGATTGCAGCCAGTTTCGTGCCGGTCGCTGGCGTGTTCAGACGTGATTCGCGCGACGCGTATCGTTTTATCGGACCATTTTCTACATTCGCATTATATTCGGTCATCAATCGGCTTAGTTGTAACGTGCATCTGCAGTGTTTTGTTAATGATTAATTGTGCGTATAATGTCAATAAATGTGTTTCTGTTCGCTTTTGATGTTTATACATCAAATTACAAGAATGCTGCGGTTTTATTGCCGGTTATTGTGTAACGTTATGGGCTGCTAGCTCATTTGGATACATATTGCTGCCATATTGTTTCCTGTCATTAGAAGAACCTTTCGTGTTTGAGTAAGTAACTTTTATCTGACCATTGCGATACTCAGCGCGGAATGTTGTATTTAGATTTCGGTTTAGTTCTACGTTTTATTGTTTTTCCGCAATGTTACCGAATCACAAAATTCTTTCTGGCGGAAAATTAAGAACGGGAATTTGAAGTTTTATTTGGAGAATCATCAATAAGACATTTTGCTTAACTTCTTATCTTCATAAAATGAATATATCACTTAAATATTTGATGTACCTAACATTTGACGATCTGTCAGCATAAAAAATCAGAATTACATGAATCGAATTTTAATTTTTAATTAATTTTGGCACTTAATCTAAATTCCGGTATGTTACTAGTTTAAAGTAAAAATCGTAAAATAGGCTTGTATTGTTTATTTTTATATTTGATAGCAAACGTGGGCATTCGACAAGAGAATTGTGTTTGTTTTGAACACAATTTACACTTTCTTTTTGCATTAGCCGCGAGGAATGCAACGCATGAGATTTCCCACTTGCAGTTTAGTGTACTCGTAGATCGCCGGTATCATGTCTATTGCAATTCGCGTACAAGGTCGCGTGTCATCGACGCGCCGGCTTTGCGCATATATTGCTTTTACCTACGTGATTCATGCAGCACGTACTAGTACAGGAACTGTCTCGTCGTTGTTTGTTTATAATTCAATTATATTTTTCGTTCAAATTTTTGCGTCGTTCATTAGATTGTATTTAGGTAGTTTTTTTTATCAAGTTCCACCGCGTGTTGCAATGACACAAGATCGCGTTTCAATCCGCTCCTCTCTACCACTTTTAAATTGCTAGATATTCGCAATCGAAGGAAACTTTTAAACACAATTTCAAATTTCTTACACCCCGAATTTTAATTAGTTTATTATTCTTGTCTTATCTTATAGAGAATTTTGCAAACTGTCATAATCTTTGATCGGCTGGGCGCTAGCGCTTTTAGTTTAAAAGATATTTGCTACCGAAAATTCTCAAAATTACATGATGCAGCATATTTTGCAATTAATCGCAATTGTACAGTTGAGTCTCATTCGGTGTACTGTAGCAGGGTAGCGATAAAAGTGACTCGTGTTCAGGATACCGTATGAGGCTAGCGGTAGATGTGACTCCCTTTCAGGGCACCGTACGAGGGTAGCGGTAGAAATTACTCGTGTTCAGGACACCGTACGAAGCTAGCGGTAAAAGTGACTCGTGTTCAGGATACCGTATGAGGCTAGCGGATTGATGTGCCTCCCTTTCAGGGCACCCTACGAAGGCAGCGGTAGAAGTGACTCGTGTTCAGGGCCCTGTACGTGGATGAATGTATAGCTGACTCTCATTTGCCCATTTTATCTTTGAATTTTTTTAGTATTTTAAATTTTCAATTTAACTAGCCTATCTTATTGAAAATTTTCCGTAGATTAAAAATTTTTAATCCGCTCCTCCCTAGCTTTTTAGTTTTTGAGATATGCCGAATCGAAGAACTCTCAAAAAATGAAAATGTTCACTTTTTAGCACTTCTAAACACGATTTCAAAATCTTTGTATCCCGAATTTTAATTATTTTCTTATATTATCTTATAGAGGATTTACCAAACTTTCATTGTTTTTGATTGGTTGGTCGCTAGCGCTTTTAGTTTAAAAGATATTCGCTACCGAAAAGGTTGCGTGCCGTCAACGTGCATTGCGCATCTAACGCAGCTAACGGTACAGTGCCTTATTGTGAACTGTCGCATCGTTGCCTGCGTAGTTTCAGCAAGCGCTATCGATGGATTGCAGCCAGTTTTGGGTCGGTTGCTGGAGTATATAGACTTGTTTCGCGCGACGCGTATCGTTTTATTGGACTTCTATTTTCTACATTCGCATTATATTTGGTCATCAATCGACTTAGTTGTGCCATGTATCCGCTGTGATTTGTGAATGATTAATTGTTCGTTTAATGTCCGTAAATGTTTTGTTTTTGCTCGCTTTTGATGTTTATATTTTAAATTACAAGAATGTTGTGGTTTTATTGTGTGACGTTGTCGGTCAATCGGATATATATTGCTGTCCTGTTATTTCTCCTCCTTATGAGGTCCTTTTGTGCTTGAGTAAGTAAATTTTATCTGACTATTTTGATACTCCGTACATAATGTTTATATTTTTCCGATATGTGAATATAATATTATTATATTATATGAAATGTTTTTGTTTTAACTTATATTTTCTTTTAATTACAGAACTTGGCGTACCCTTGCAATTCAATGAGCGCTACATTGGTATGTTTATAATTAAGTTATATTATTTGGTTAAATTTTTACTACATTTCACTTTCGTGTTGAAATATATCGCGAATTTTTTATATCGGTATCGTGTTTTTTTGCGTTTGCACGAGATCTTGACGGCTCAATAACTTCAGCGTGGCGCCTAGAAATGCAGAATTAAATTCTCGGTCGGGTGGTATTTGCTTGTTGCAGGAATTCGATCTGCATTCCGCGAAAATTTGCATTAAAATGTGATTTTTACCCTTTACCGGTGAAATATTTGTGTTTTTTTGTATTTTGCACGTGATCTTGGAGGCGCAATAACTTCAGCGTGGCATCTAGAGATGCAGAATTAAATTCTCCGTCGGGTGGTATTTTTTTGTTGCAGGAATTCGACCTGCATTCGGCGAAAATTTGCATTAAAAGTGTATCATTTTTTAATTTTTCACCCTTTATCGTGAAATCTTGGTATTTTTCGCGTTTGCACGCGATCTAGGCGGCGCAGTAGTTTCAGCGGGCGTCGTCGAGATGCGGAATTAAATTCTTTGTCGGGTGGTATTTAATTGTTGCATGAATTCGATTTTCAACCCGCAAAAATTTTCATATAAGTGTTATTTTTTCAACATTTTTCTTGAAATCTTTGTATTTTTCGAGTTTGCACGCGATCTAGGCGGCGCAGTAATTTCAGCGGGACGTCCAGAGATGCGGAATTAAATTCTTCGTCGGGTGGTATTTAATTGTTGCAGGAATTCGACCTGCAACCCGCGAAAATTTGCATATAAGTGTTATTTTTCAACCCTTTTTCGTGAAATGTATGTACTTTTTCGGGTTTGCACGCGATCTAGGCGGCGCAGTAACTTCAGCGGGGCGTCCGGAGATGCGGAATTAAATTCTTCGTCGGGTGGTATTTAATTGTTGCAGGAATTCGACCTGCAACCCGCGAAAATTTGCATATAAGTGTTATTTTTCAACCCTTTTTCGTGAAATGTTTGTGTTTTTTCGGGTTTGCACGCGATCTAGGCGGCGCAGTAATTGCAGCGGGACGTCCAGAGATGCGGAATTAAATTCTTCGTCGGGTGGTATATAATTGTTGCAGGAATTCGACCTGCAACCCGCGAAAATTTGCATATAAGTGTTATTTTTCAACCCTTTTTCTTGAAATCTTGGTATTTTTTCGAGTTTGCGCGCGATCTAGGCGGCGCAGTAATTTCAGCGGAACGTGCGGAGATGCGGAATTAAATTCTTCGTCGGGTGGTATATAATTGTTGCAGGAATTCGACCTGCAACCCGCGAAAATTTGCATATAAGTGTTATTTTTCAACCCTTTTTCTTGAAATCTTGGTATTTTTTCGAGTTTGCGCGCGATCTAGGGGGCGCAGTAATTGCAGCGGGACGTCCAGAGATGCGGAATTAAATTCTTCGTCGGGTGGTATATAATTGTTGCAGGAATTCGACCTGCAACCCGCGAAAATTTGCATATAAGTGTTATTTTTCAACCCTTTTTCTTGAAATCTTGGTATTTTTTCGAGTTTGCACGCGATCTAGGCGGCGCAGTAATTGCAGCGGGACGTCCAGAGATGCGGAATTAAATTCTTCGTCGGGTGGTGTATAATTGTTGCAGGATTTCGACCTGCAACCCGCGAAAATTTGCATATAAGTGTTATTTTTCAACCCTTTTTCGTGAAATCTTGTGTATTTTTTGGGTTTGCACGCGATCTAGGCGGCGCAGTAATTTCAGCGGGGCGTCCGGAGATGCGGAATTAAATTCTCCGTCGGGTGGTATTTAATTGTTGCAGGAATTCGACCTGCAACCCGCGAAAATTTGCATATAAGTGTTATTTTTCAACCCTTTTTCGTGAAATATTTGTGTTTTTGTGGGTTTGCGCGCGATCTAGGCGGCGCAGTAATTGCAGCGGGACGTCCAGAGATGCGGAATTAAATTCTTCGTCGGGTGGTGTATAATTGTTGCAGGATTTCGACCTGCAACCCGCGAAAATTTGCATATAAGTGTTATTTTTCAACCTTTTTTCGTGAAATATTTTTGTTTTTTCGGGTTTGTGCACGATTTAGGCGGCGCAGTATATTCAGCGGGGCGTCCGGAGATGCGGAATTAAATTCTTCGTCGGGTGGTATATAATTGTTGCAGGATTTCGACCTGCAACCCGCGAAAATTTGCATATAAGTGTTATTTTTCAACCTTTTTTCGTGAAATATTTGTGTTTTTTCGGGTTTGTGCACGATTTAGGCGGCGCAGTATATTCAGCGGGGCGTCCGGAGATGCGGAATTAAATTCTCCGTCGGGTGGTATTTAATTGTTGCAGGAATTCGACCTGCAACCCGCGAAAATTTGCATATAAGTGTTATTTTTCAACCCTTTTTCTTGAAATCTTGGTATTTTTTCGAGTTTGCACGCGATCTAGGCGGCGCAGTAATTCAGCGGGACGTCCGGAGATGCGGAATTAAATTCTTCGTCGGGTGGTATTTAATTGTTGCAGGAATTCGACCTGCAACCCGCGAAAATTTGCATATAAGTGTTATTTTTCAACCCTTTTTCGTGAAATATTTGTGTTTTTTCGGGTTTGTGCACGATTTAGGCGGCGCAGTATATTCAGCGGGGCGTCCGGAGATGCGGAATTAAATTCTTCGTCGGGTGGTATTTAATTGTTGCAGGAATTCGACCTGCATCCCGCGAAAATTTGCATATAAGTGTTATTTTTCAACCCTTTTTTTTTTGAAATCTTGGTATTTTCTTGAGTTTGCACGCGATCTAGTCGGCGCAGTAGATTCAGCGAGGCGTACGGAGATGCGGAATTAAATTCTCCGTCGGGTGGTATTTAATTGTTGCAGGAATTCGACCTGCAACCCGCGAAAATTTGCATATAAGTGTTATTTTTCAACCCTTTTTCGTGAAATGTATGTACATTTTCGGATTTGCACGCGATCTAGGCGGCGCAGTAACTTCAGCGGGGCGTCCGGAGATGCGGAATTAAATTCTTCGTCGGGTGGTATTTAATTGTTGCAGGAATTTGACCTGCATCCCGCGAAAATTAGCATAAAAGTGTTATTTTTCAACCCTTTTTCGTGAAATTTTGGTATTTTTTCGAGTTTGCACGCGATCTAGGCGGCGCAGTAATTCAGCGGGGCGTCCGGAGATGCGGAATTAAATTCTTCGTCGGGTGGTATTTAATTGTTGCAGGAATTCGACCTGCATCCCGCGAAAATTTGCATATAAGTGTTATTTTTCAACCCTTTTCGTGAAATATTTTGTTTTTTCGGGTTTGCACGCGATCTAGGCGGCGCAGTAACTTCAGCGGGGCGTCCGGAGATGCGGAATTAAATTCTTCGTCGGGTGGTATATAATTGTTGCAGGAATTCGACCTGCATCCCGCGAAAATTTGCATATAAGTGTTATTTTTCAACCCTTTTTCGTGAAATCTTGGTATTTTTCGAATTTGCACGCGATCTAGGCGGCGCAGTAACTTCAGCGGGGCGTCCGGAGATGCGGAATTAAATTCTTCGTCGGGTGGTATTTAATTGTTGCAGGAATTCGACCTGCATCCCGCGAAAATTTGCATATAAGTGTTATTTTTCAACCCTTTTTCGTGAAATCTTGGTATTTTTTCGAGTTTGCACGCGATCTAGGCGGCGCAGTAATTTCAGCGGGGCGTCCGGAGATGCGGAATTAAATTCTCCGTCGGGTGGTATTTAATTGTTGCAGGAATTCGACCTGCAACCCGCGAAAATTTGCATATAAGTGTTATTTTTCAACCCTTTTTCGTGAAATATTTGTGTTTTTTCGGGTTTGCACGCGATCTAGGCGGCGCAGTAATTTCAGCGGGCGTCCGGAGATGCGGAATTAAATTCTTCGTCGGGTGGTATTTAATTGTTGCAGGAATTCGACCTGCAACCCGCGAAAATTTGCATATAAGTGTTATTTTTCAACCCTTTTTCTTGAAATCTTGGTATTTTTTCGAGTTTGCACGCGATCTAGGCGGCGCAGTAATTGCCGCGGGGCGTCCGGAGATGCGGAATTAAATTCTCCGTCGGGTGGTTTTTAATTGTTGCAGGAATTCCACCTGCAACCGCGAAAATTTGCATATAAGTTTTATTTTCAACCGTTTTTCGTGAAATATTTGTGTTTTTGCGGGTTTGCGCGTGATCTAGGGGGCGCAGTAATTTCAGCGGAACATGCGGAGATGCGGAATTAAATTCTTCGTCGGATGGTATATAATTGTTGCAGGATTTCGACCTGCAACCCGCGAAAATTTGCATATCAGTGTTATTTTTTACCCCTTTTTCGTGAAATGTTTGTGTTTTCTCGGTTTTGCACGCGATTTAGGCGACGCAGTAATTTCAGCGGGGCGTCCGGAGATGCGGAATTAAATTCTCCGTCGGGTGGTATTTAATTGTTGCAGGAATTCGACCTGCAACCCGCGAAAATTTGCATATAAGTGTTATTTTTCAACCCTTTTTCGTGAAATGTATGTACATTTTCGGATTTGCACGCGATCTAGGCGGCGCAGTAATTTCAGCGGGGCGTCCGGAGATGCGGAATTAAATTCTCCGTCGGGTGGTATTTAATTGTTGCAGGAATTCGACCTGCAACCCGCGAAAATTTGCATATAAGTGTTATTTTTCAACCCTTTTTCTTGAAATCTTGGTATTTTTTCGAGTTTGCACGCGATCTAGGCGGCGCAGTAATTTCAGCGGGGCGTCCGGAGATGCGGAATTAAATTCTCCGTCGGGTGGTATTTAATTGTTGCAGGATTTCGACCTGCAACCCGCGAAAATTTGCATATAAGTGTTATTTTTCAACCCTTGTTCGTGAAATATTTGTGTTTTTTGGGTTTGCACGCGATCTAGGCGGTGCAGTAATTTCAGCGGGCGTCCGGAGATGCGGAATTATATTCTCCGTCCGATGGTAATGGTTTGTTGCAGGAATTCGACCTGCAACCACTTATGACATCTCAAAGCCAATAATTTTTTTTCTTAGGTCGAGAAATATTGAAAGTAAAAGTTGATTTTGTGTATGTTGGTTATTTAAACATTGTGAAATTTTAGTTTGGTTGTTTTAACTACGAGTTTATCAGTTTGTGT